ACAATCTTAAAATAAAATACAATACTGTGCAAAAGTCAGAGACCACCATCTATGTATTTAATTTTCAGTCATACAGCCATTAAGTTATTCTTTTTTTAATGTCAGGAAAAAAAAGGAGAGAAACTAAATATTACACAAAATTGTTCAGTATTTAGTTTGTTCACTAAATGTGTTTGCCTTTATTAGACTTGCTTTCATTCTTTCAAAGAAATCTGCAGGGATATTTTTCCACACCTCAGTCTTAGAAGTTGGTTGCGTTTTCTGCTTCTCATGATCTGTAATCCCAAACACATTCAGTGATGTTGAGGTCTGGACTCTGGGGTGGTCAGTCTATTGTTCTGCGAACACCAGCAGCTTCTTTACAGCCACAGCTACAGTGTTGTCTCCTAACAGTGGAAGGATGGACAGAAACACCTGGGGATTTTTTCAAATCTGAAGCAAGAGTGGAGCTTGCTTCAGCTTTAAGTGCTGCTTATCTGATGGTGATAGTGTTGGTTGTCTACCAGCTCTTGCAGGGTTGTTAGGAGTCCCATTTTCTTTATATCTTTTAAACATTTTTTGAACTTCAGTTTTGGAAATTTCATGTCTCTTATCAGTATAATGGATGTATCTTAATTTCTTCTGAAATACCTTCTTAAAAATGAAAAACGTACTTCATGTCTGTTTTGACTGGAAATTAAATAAATGAAGGGTGTTTTCTCACCTTTACACAGTATTGTTGGAGTACAAAACTGGACACTAAACAGAACTGTAGTTCATAATGTGTCAGCTGTAAAATACAGTTTGCTGCTGATTCAGTTGCAGTAGTTAGAGTCTTGGAAATCTTTCATCAACACACTGCTCTTGAACACAAGCTGAAAAGACATGCAAGCAAGACATTTAACCAGAGAAGGACATGGTTATTAGTTGAAATATGAATGGGAAAGCGCATAATGCTCAACATGGCATCTGTCTACAGAGAAAGTCCTGCACTGCAGTAAAAAGAGCCAATCAGCTTGCTTGCAATCAGCACAGTAGCCATAACAACCCAAAAAAATGTTTTTTTTTTGTGTGTTATTCAGCCAAACACTACAAACTATTTATGAGGATTTGTCGGTGGTTTCCAATCTGTTTTTGAAATGGTAATTTGGCCTTCAGGTTTGAATTCTTAGGTCTCTCCTTATTCAAAGAGAGAGGAGTCTGGTCTTGTACGGCTGGAAATAACTTCCCAGATGAGTTGCCAAGATGGCCGTCGAGTGAACAGACTTTCCTATAATGATACAATTATGGACAGATTCGATCATTACATTTATATTGCAATAATGTAAGCTTTAGAAACAAAACTAAATATGTTCTACCTCTGCTTCCATATTCAGTTTAAATTAAAGGGTTTTCCACGTAAAAACAATCAAACTGCTGAAAAGGGCTGAATATGTGATGGATTGTTTTCTAATTTTACACTGTATAATCAGACTTGAAGCATGGGGTGAGATTAATTGATAGTTCGAATTTTTTTATTTAATCCACACATAGGAATGCAAAAAAGACCGCACTTTTCAGATATGGATATGCACGACTCAGCAGACGGACTGTGTCCATGCATGTGCCATGGCTCAGATGGCCAGGCACTTCCTCCTACACGTCTAAACATGCTGAACATACTGACATCATTCATTATACAGTCACACAGCAGTGTCAGCTTCTGTGTGCCTGCTGCTCCTACAGCTCCATTACTAAAATAAAGCAATTAGCTCCATTATTGGCCAGAAATAAGAACTGACATATCATAGTATGTTTGTACAGCTAAAGACACTGAATAAATTCCAAACAATACCACTGCTTAGTCTCGCTGACATCATATAACAATACGCCTACTATTTTTTTTTCCAGAAGTTCATTACATTACTCATTGCCACCGAGTGTGGTAAGAATGTAGGTCATTATACAATGAATCTGCTGTAGGACACAGACTGTAGATAACAGTTACAACAGAACAGCCTGAACTCCAAACACACTCCAAACTTCAATGCTCCCTGAAAATGTGCTACATGATGGAAAACAGTCCCAATACAAATTGTGTCTTGCTCACACTTATGGTACTGGGCAAAAGTCTTAGGCAGCTAAGTAAATTGTTTAAAACTATTTATCTCAGCAGTAAGTGTGTTTTTGCCAGTAAAACAACTTTGAATGTTAGAATACAAACAAACAGTTTTTTTTGTTTTCAAAGAAAGAAGTTACTATCTTTTGAGCTAGAAGAACAAAATTTGGCTGCAGATTTCTCCCTAGTTCCCCCTGCTATTGCTCGAATTTGTTAATCACCAGGTCACCCGCTTTAACATAAAGAAGTACTGATTAGCCAAATTATGCGTTGGATTTTGACAACCATGCTGAGCCCATGGCAAATCATGGGACAGAAACTAATATTGTGTAGGAATCTTTCTAGCCTAGCAAAGTGCAGCAACACAACGTGACATCGATTCCACAAGTGGACAGAAGACGCGTGGAGGGATGTTGAGCCATGCTGTCCAGATGGCCACCCACAGCTCTGTGGTATTTGTAGGTTCAGGATCTGGGGTGTGAATGGACCTCTCCACCACATCCCATAAATGCTGGATTGGGCTCATGTCAGGTGAACGTGCAGGACACACCAAACATCTGAACACTCCAGAATGCTCCTTGAAGGCACAGTGCATTATCCTGCTGGAATATCCCATCATTGTGGCGGTACATGAAGTCCGTCAAAGGCTGCAAACGGTCACCAAGCAGTGGAACATAGCACTCACTGGTGAATGACGTGTTTAGGCAGACCAGTGGACCCAACCCATGCCATGAGAACACACCCCAAACCAGTATGGAACAACCACCAGCCTGCAAAATGCCTTGTTGACAACTGGGTTCCATGGCTCCATGGGCTCTGTGCCACGCACAAACCCTACCATCAGCCCGAAACAGTTGGTACCATGACCCATTGGACCATGCCACATGTTGCCAGTCCGCTAGGGTCCAGTTAGCAACCTCACAAGCCCAGGTGAGGCGCTGTGTCCAGTGTTCTGGTGTTAACAGAGGCGCTCTGGTGGGTTGTCTGCTCTCATATCCCATGGAAGCTAAATAACGCTGCACTGACCTACGGGATATGCATGTCAGTCCTCCTGCATTGAATGTGGATATGATTTCTGCCAGAGTCGCTTGTCCGTTTGCAAGGAGAATTCTAGCCAGACACCGCTGATCACATCTAGCCTGCAATAACAGCCTGTAATGAATTCAGTGCTTTTGTGATGTAATGGAATCTCATTTACATATACCTGCCCCTTCAACCTACAGCAGTTTAGCCAGTGCTCATTTACTGGAGAGAGATAAAAATATAAAAATGAATGTTTAATATTGGCCATTTAATATTATTTGTATTTAGCAAAGATGTCTTATTGATAGACCAGATAAATAACTTTTAAATGTAATTTTCTCAAGTGCCTAAAACATTTGCCCTGTACTGTACATGGGCACATGTTCTGCTGTGTTATTGTTATTAGGGTTTTCCCCATAAGACCAGGAGATCCGCTGAAGTATTACTGTAGATAAATTCTGCTATGCCAACACATAATCCTAACCCCATCCTAACCTCAGAGACCAAAAGGAAACACTGTGGATTTTTTGCTTTCCAAGCGAAAACTGCATTTTGTGAACAAAAGCATTCTTTCTCATGGGCGCCAGATGTCCCCACATATTAGCATCTCAACATTGGTATTATATGATTTGCAATGAAAATGTTCAAATTTCAAAGAATCATTCTTTATTTCAAAGAAACATTCTTTATGAGGGAAGGGTGGAGTTTTGAGGGTGGAAATTTGAGGGCCAAGTCTATCAATAACTATGTATATAACTATACATATACATTGTGTGATGGAGTCTTAGAGTATGACACATTTTCTTCAGTTCCAACAGTACATGAAGTCACCTAGTCATTCATATATATATATATATATATATATATATATATATATATATATATATATAGGGTGACTTCATGTACTGTTGGAACTGAAGAAAATGTGTCATACTCTAAGACTCCATCACACAATGTACAACAGTTACCATACATTTTCATTATTGTTCTTGGCTGGCAGGAAGTGACGGAGGATCTATTTAGTTGCCATGAGTTCAATGTGTTGTTTTTTACTCTAGGTTTTCCAGTGACTCGTTTTTCCTGCCACTCAAAATTCCATTTCCTTTGCTTGTATCCCACCCCCAGCATTACTGAACAGAATAAGGCACTTCAGTTGTGAGTTAACTTCCTGCCATTCATGGGCATTTCCTCCAGGAAGCATCTGGCGCTCCTTTACAAAGAAGCCCATCAGCCAGACAGAATGGTAAAGCAGCTGTTGGATATGGAACACTGCTTTACATCCCAAGAGAAGCATTTTACACACCTACAGGAGTCAATCAGCACTTGTTTGAAACCATTAGTGTTGAGTGTGAGATGCAGGCCGTTGTATGTTGCTACTGTACAAAGCATTCCCAAGTGAAATGAGCCATGTTTCTTCCTGTTTTCCACTCTCCGCTCAATTCATCCAGTTATAGATCTATTACATGAAAGAGGATGGATTTGCTGAGAGTCTCTCGTCTCTGAATGTAATGTTCACTTATAGAGGTCTCACAATCATAATGTCTCCTGCCTCTTTAGAATATGCCTTTTAGGAAAGTGGCAAAAGCGAAACTGTCAAGTGAGCCATGAGATTTCAGGGAGGATTTTGGATGTTAATTGCTGAAGTTAAAGTTTATGTGACCTGTGGCAGGGCACACTGTATTTTTCCTGCAGTTCTCCCTCTGTTTTGGGTTCATACATCACTCTGATGTGGGAGTTTGTCTGTGGGAGCGGGTTGTGAAGGCTTTGGTAACGCGAGCAGCTAATTCCTTTCAGAGTTGTTATTGTTTTGCTAAGCCAGCACCACCACCCTAAAGGAAGCGGGGCTCTGTATCAAGGCTGAGCACACTTCCTGTGCTCATTATCTTGAGAGGACCTCACAGGGTGGCTAAGAAAGTGCATACAAAGTAGACGGTCGCTATGTTGCAGACAGTGAGAGCCAGGAGGCTGACAGAGAGGCACTGCTGACGGACACGAAGCACAGGACAGAGACATGGATTACTGGATTGGATTATATTTTCTCAACTTTCTGAATGTCGTCTTTAGCGCTCCTGATGCATCCTACACTGTACACTTGGATTACTATTCATTTGAAGACGCTCAAACATTCTGTAAGTCTACTGGTAAATGGTATTCTGACCGACATGGCAAAACCACTGGAAACTAAAAAGATTCTGAAAGCCATTGAGGACAAGAGAAACAAAACCTTAACTTCTTTCTGGATTGGCCTGAAGAAAGATAGGTCAAAGTGTGTTCAAGCAAATCTTCCACTCAAGGGTTTCTCCTGGATTGTGGATAATAGCACTGAATTTGAGGCTGCTAAGTGGAAATCAGAACCTGGAGGTACTTGCACAAGTGTTCTTTGTGGCCTGCTCTCAGTGAACTACAGTGGCTCTACAATAGGAAGCTGGCAGTTAGATTCTGGCAGATGCAAGCAGACATATCCTTTTATTTGCAAATATGAAGGACAGATTGAGGAAAAGCCTTGCCCTGACCCGTCAATAAACAAGCCTTTTGACTTCATGCAAAAAATGAATGACCCATACACTCTTTATCTTATTTGTAAAGACACGAAAACTTACACACTGACCTGTTCAGCGATCACCCGTGAATGGACACTGGTGAACAGCCCCAAGACAGACATATCACGACTCTGTCTGGAATGTGAAAAGGGCTACAAAAAGAATGCACAAGGAAACTGTGTGGATGAAGATGAATGTGAACAATTCCAACCGTGCAAACATTGCATTAATACAGTGGGCTCATACGTTTGTAAATGTCCAGATGGTGCAGAGGATACTGATGAAAACTGCAAGAAGGCAAAAGACTCGCACGCTTTTAAGACTAGCCCTGATGACATCGATTTCCAGGAAAAAACATCATCCTCTTCTGTGGAGAAGATGCCTCAACCAGACAGTACAACTGAGAGCAGTGTTCACATTGAGGGCAGCACTGGAGACCCATCAAACATAATCTTTCCTGTCATTATAGCTTTGCTGATCTTCGTGGTGCTAGTTGTGATCATTGCGGGCATCGTCAAATGCTGCCTCATAAGACGCTCTAAGAAACAGGCCAAGAAAAGGGCGGAGGCCTCTAAAGAGTCAATGGCTCTGAATGGATTGGACTCCATGGAGAAGGTGGACGAAAAAGAGGTGTTCTAAGTGAGTGTTTTAAAGAACTCAGGAGCTCAGTGACAATGAATGTACAGTGGCATCCAAAAGTCTGAGACCACATTGAAAATCGGTGTTTTAGAATTTTGGCCTTTGCACAAAAAGGTCTGTTTGTTTTTTTTCCAAATCTTATCGCCTCCTCTGAAGCACATGTTCAGACGACTCTCAGGTGGGACTGATCTACTCATCAAAGACTTGCATAAACTTTAGAGGAGTTCATCCCAGCCTGAGTGCACACAGCCAATAAAGCAAAAGGGGGACATATTAAACACTAAGAAATTCCAAAATGCATTTATATACATCAAATATTATACTTTTTACTCAAATTATTTGCTGACATTATAATTTATCATAAAAAGTATGCAAAATAGAAGCATGTTTACTACTGGTCTTATGGACCCCAGTGTATATTTGCTCGACTTGGAATTCCACTCTGGAATCATAATCATGTTTTACAGTATGAATCAGGGTGCAGATGCACGAGACAAACATTATATCCAGGAGTTCAATACTACTTTGGACAGATTTCAATTTATGAGGACTTTATATCCAAGCTGTTAATGTGCATAGGTTCATTTATTTTATCAACAATTAATGTTTTGTGTATGGAAACTCTCAGGTCTTTGCAATGGATTATGTAATGGGAAAAACTACATTACAATTGTCAGTATAACCGCTTTTATATATCGCTGCTGTCAGAACAAAACGTTTATCTCCAAAATGGTAACTTTACAGGAGAAGGAAAAAACATACTTTATTTTTTAATGTAAGTCAATGGAACCAGACTTTTTTCCAAGTAAGTTTGGGACATTTCTTTTGGTTTATCCATCATGCAATTTATACACAATGTGAAGGGCAACAGGAATTTTCAAATTACGTCAAAAACTGAAAACGACTACAATGGAAATATGAGGTTTTGGTCCGATAGCAGCAATATATTTTAATAAGACTGAAAATCTACATAGGTCTACACTATATTTCCAAAAATTTGTACACACCTGCTTGTCCAATGTTTATTTTGAAATTGATGATGTTTCTACTCTTCTGGAAAGGCTTTACACTAGAGGTTGGAACACTGCTGTGAGAATTTGATTGCATTCAGCCACAAGAGCATTAATGAGGTCAGGTACTGGTGTTGGATGATTGGTTCTGGATCACAAATGCCACCCCAACTCATCCCAAAGTTGCTGGATGGAGCTCCATCACTCCAGAGAACACAGTTCCGCTGTGCCACAGTCCAGTGCTAGGGGGGTTTATACCCCTCTACTCAACGCTTGGCATTGGGCATGATGACCTTAGACTTATGTATGGCTGCTCCAGAGCACCTCATTCTATTAACAAAGTTTTTAATGGAGATTATTCAAACTTTTTGAGCACCTGTATTAGCAACAGGCGCAGCTAAAAGATGCTGAATACACTTATAAGAAGGGATGTATAGATACTTCTGGACATAGGGTATGGCTTAAAACCCAAAATCATGACAGAAGAAGGAGGTCAATGTATGTACATGTATATCAAAGATTGTAATAACAGGTGATAATGTCTTTCGCAGAACAGAATCATTTGAAGAGAATGTCTGAAATAAACCATGAATTCTGTGTCATAACAAAAATGCATGTTTTGGCGTATAAACGCGAGGGAAGAAGGCCACAAGTAAGCTGACCTGATAAAATATGGCACATTAGTGAAGACACTCATTTTCCTGCACGCGTTTGCTTTAATGCACAGTAGGCGAGAAAATTAACACCACAGCACTAAACAGAACATCACAGTTCACAGGCTACAGCACTATTTCCTCTCATTTCTCATTTCCTCATTAGTTTGCCTGCACTCCCTCAAATCATGTTGAATATGAAATATTTAGAGGTAGGAAACCCCCCAAATGGCATACAAGCCTTACAGAATCTTTATTTTTAATGTTTTTGGTAGCATTTAAAAAAACTCCCTTAGAAATAAGTGACTTAAAGAGAAATGTTGGTCTAATGTCAGTGAATATCCTTACATAATTGCAAGCTACTTATGATGATTCCTTATTGGTGTTTTAATATAAATCCTCTGCATATTCGTCTCAGTGTCATAATCTCAGAACTGTTCTGTTTTGTTCCCACACAGAAAGAAGAGATTTACTGAAAATCTAGGGCAGGCAGTCTCATAACTCCCATCCAAATACATTCTCAGTGCTTTAGTGTAGCACTCAAACATATGGAAGCTCATTCCCACTAGACAGAGGAGAAACAATCACCTATGGTTTCATTCTGCTTCTGTGTTTCTGGCAGCTGTATGTCAAAGTATTCACTTAGTGTCAGTTACTAATTACTAATGATGTATTTTCTCAATACTGACTGAATATCTAAAAAAAATGATGCATTTTCTTGATATATTGACTTAATATCTCTAAATAATGTCTACTTTTTGCTATACATTGACCCAATATTTCAATGTAAAGACTTTTTTTTTCAAAAATTGACATACTGTCTTGAAACAAAGATGTTTTTTTCAAGATTTTGAGATTAAATCTAAATAAGCTACTAAATTTGAACAAAGGGCATTGTATTGTACAGCACTTACATATTGTATTGTATTGCACTGTTCTGTGTTTAACTCTGTTCCTTTTTCACTAGGTGTCAATGACTTTCTGATTCTAGCAGTATCTGAGCTTAGGACTTTCTCTCTAACCTATCGGTAACTAACGAAGATACTTTCTCTGGATAGACAAAGCACTTTTTGTAAGTCGCTCTAGATAAGAGCGTCTGCCAAATGATGTAAATGTAATGTAAATGGTTATTACTTTGAAAAGTCAATATTTTGAGACAGTAAGTCATTATTTCAACATAATAAGCCATTATTACGAGATGCTAAGTTGAACTTGAGAAAATAAGCCATTTTTTTTAGATAATATTAATATGAGACATTATTTCATACTGTATTTAAATACAGTAAGTCAATATTTTAAGTCATTTTTCCGACATAATAAGCCATTTCTATAAGATGCTAAGTCATTTCCTCACAGTAAGTCTATATTTTCAAATAGTCATTATTTAGATGTTATTAATATGAGACACTGTCATTATTTAAATACGATAAGTCAATATTTTAAGGAAATAAGTCATTATTTCGATATAGTAAGTCATTATTACGAGACAATCAATTATTATTTCCACACAGTAAGTGGACATTTTTTAGAAAATTGGTAATTATGTCGAGATATTAAGTCGCAAATTTGACATAGTGCTGCCAGAAAGAAAAGGAGAAAAGTGGGCATGTGTTTTCCTCTGTCTGGTGGGAACGTCTTCCATACAGGCGTTACACCAGTGAAGCATTTATCAAATCGATTCTTTTCTTTTAAGACGAATGGCGCATAATCGTTGTTATCATGTCATACAACTTTAATAACGTCAGTAGAATTCGCCTACACAAACACACAAACACACACACACACACACACACACACACACACACACACACACACACCGATAGTAAAATAAAATAAATACACTTGTGATCTGGCGGTTTGTTCAGTCAGTTAAACACTGCAGCACTACAGCGTTGTAGTTCTGGAGGTGCACGTCCCGTTCCTGTACGCGCTGTCTGACTCCATATTGTCCGGCTGAAATTCGTCCACACTGTACCCCCGACTTTTCAGCGCTGTAGCGTAGTAGTCGATGGGCTCCTCGGCCGCGCTGTCCATCCACCGAAGGCACAGGATTCTTTGGAAGGAGCGTTTGAAATTGTCCGACAGGAATCCGTACAGGATGGGGTTGGCGCAGCTGTTGGCGTAACCCAAAACCACGGCCAGCTGACTGAGCGTGGCGTTATGCTGCTCCACGAACACGTTGACGAGCTGCACGATGTGGAAAGGCATCCAGCAGATCACGAACACGGTCACCACCATCATGACCATGAGCGTGATCTTCCGCTCGGACTTTTTGCGCTGCTGCCAGCCCGCTTTCAGGGCCACCACCCGCAGCTTGACTATGATCAGGACGTAGCACATGCAGATGGCAATGACCGGGAAAAGAAAGCCCATCAGAAACGCGTAAACGATGAACACGGCCATCCACCGGCGCTGCGGCTCGGGCATCTGCATGTTGCAAGCCACCGAGCCGTCCGAGTTCGGGGTAGAGGTGGAAAAGATGATGATGGGCAGGATGACCAGAATAGAGAACATCCACACAGCCAAGTTGACCATTTTGGCGACGGTGGGTCTCCTGTAGCGGGCGGCTTTGATCGGGTGCACCACGGCGATGTAGCGGTCAATGCTCAGCACGGTCAGGCAGTAGATGCTGGTGAACATGTTGATGGCATCGACGCTCAGAACCAGACGGCACAGGAAGGAGCCGAACGGCCAGTGGTGAAGCAGCGAGGAGGTCACCAGGAACGGCACGCTCAGCATCAGCAGCTCGTCCGCGATCGCCAAGTTCAGGATGTAAATGTTGGTGGCCGTTTTCATCTTGGCGTACCTGAAAATGACATAGATGACCATGGAGTTGCCGCAGAGCCCCACCAGACACACCACCGAGTAGACGAAGGAGATGAGGATCGCGCTGCCGTGAGACTCGCCGTGCGTTTCGTTGCCGGACGCGTTGAGGAACGAGCCGTCCTCCAGACTCCGGAATGAGCCGTTGGGCAGCATGCTGACCCTCACTGCGCTCTGCGGGTCAAGCGGTGGAGAAGTGACCTCAGATGCTCTCCGTTTGGCTCGGTCTGATGTCCCCGAGGCGCATCCTCCTCTTCCTCGGCTCGCTCGCTCTGCAGCGTGGGATGCGTTTCAGCACCATGGAGAGTTACTCCAGCAAAGATCCCCTCGCAGTAAATTTAGAGACGCAACGTCAGACGCTGCAAAGTGACGTGGCTCTGGGACTCAACAAGACAGCAGCAGCTCTCTTCAGAAGAAGCGCTGTTTCAAACGTCACGCCGTGACAACTTTGCTCTCGTCTTTGTACTGATGTCACGACAAATGATGTGTCTGGCCTGTGCTTTTAAAAGAGCAGCGCAAACAGTGTCTGCCCCCCCCCAGCATTCAAAGAAAGAGGAGAACTGTTAGTGTTGATTCTAACTTTTGGACTTTTTGGACTTTTGTCCAAGAAAAATAGGCATCTTAATCCTGACAATACAAACAAAACAAACACAAGAGGACATAGTAAACCGCTAGCACCAACTTTATTGATTATACTGATTTATTTTAGTTCAATAAAATAACTTCCGTCTCTGTTTTAGATGCCTGGTGATCCTGACTGTATGCTACAGCAGTCACCTACAGTTTTCACACTGAAAGCTCATGAAATTCATATCAAAGCAGACGAAGGAAGTTTCAGCGTTTTATTACCACTCTGATGTTTAGCAAAGTATGGGTGAATTTAAGGGCCACTAACATTTTCTCTTAGATTTTTGGGCCTCACATTAAAGCTCTGTATAGATTATCAACTGATGTTCACATTGTTAACAAACTATCAGGTGAAATTCAGGTGAAAGGATTAGAATTTGGACCAGGGTGAGGATCAGGGTGATCAGGGTTAGGTTTAGGTTCTGGGTTGAAGTTAATGTTAGTGTTAGGGACAATTCAGTATATATTTAGTTGAATGTAAGTTGGAACAAGTCATATCCTAAGTATAAGTAGTAAGATATGTAACTATAAAGCACCTAAAGCATACAGTCCAAATAACGTGACTGTTTTATTTATGAAAAATACTCACAAATCATTTTTATATGACCATTTTCTAACCTTTCTTTATCCATTACAATTACTGTTACTGTGCCTTAAAGACTGATATTTGTAAATTAGCTCTGCTCTGATTTGCCGCCCTGTATTGCCTCATTAAAAAGCATTCCCTGCTGAAACACTCCTTATATCTTCACCAGTGAATATGTGAATGTGTTTGGTTTTGTGACATCACAATTCAACACAGGCTATTTTTGTAACACAGCTTAGTTTTGATATACAGACTGTTGGACTGAATAGTGAATGGTATCTTTTGAAACCTTAATTATGTTTACATGATACATCAAACTCATCTGTTTTTAAAAATAAAGGAAAGTGTATTTTCTTCATGATGTGGGCCCTTTAAAACAGCCTCCGGAAGTACAGATGGTTCTTGACTGTTCTTATATGGTAACATAGTTAATTAAAAATGGCCTGTCATCCCGAAAAATTTCCCTGTCTCAACAGAAGGTTTGTATGTGCTGTAATACTCTGTTCTGAATGGCAAAATATTTTCATCTATTTGAGAAAAAAATTAATATTATCCTGAAATGAGTTAGTCGGAAGTCTAATAATATTGCTATTTGTTTTTGTTCAGAGAGAAGCTCAAGTTGCCCTTGAAGTGTATTGAGCCCAGCCATTACAGCTTTGTGTGTGAGAGGAGCAGATGGCTGTGTTAACACTCTTTCTCATGTTCTCTCTCTCTCTCTCTGAAAGGTGGAGGGGAGCCAGGGCATTCTGCAGGTGTTATGCTGCTTCTGCTGCATTATGTTTGCCTCCCTATTTTTCCCCACCCATTTTCTTTTTGTTTATTTTGACTGCAATATTTCAGATACTAAATCAGCTTGATGTCATAGAAGTGTTCATGCTTAAAATTAAAAATAAAACTTTTTTTTCTGTTGTTACAACACCATAAAATTCCTGCTTTTGGCTCCCTAATGACCTTTTGAATGGACGGTTCTTTAAAGGAGCACTCCAGCATTTTTCACTGGAGTACGCACACAGTCGATAACCACAGACAATCATTTTGATGCTTTTCACTGTACTTAGAGCAGAGCAGAAAACCCATTCATTGAAAACCCACTGGCCTCTATTATAAATATGGATTCATGCTTTTATGGATTTCCTATTATTTTCTTTGTACAGGAGAAAAGCATCAAACTGATCATCTGTGGTAATCGAATGTGTGCTACAGATGCGATAGAGTATTCCTTTCTACAGAACCATCCATTGAAAGCTTCTTAAGCAAACCAAAGGTGGTTCGTCTATGGCAGCGCTCCATAAAATCCTTTTTAATGTTTGATGAGTGTACTGTATGTCAACGCTATCTTCATGAGAAAGACAAATTTGAAAACAGGGAGGCTGCTGACAATGAAAAAGTACATACAATGCAGATTAAACTGTGTAGTGTTTGAATGTACCCGTAAAATAAATGATAATGATTCTATGTAAGGGCATAATTACATGGCTGTTACAGAACACAAGCTTTAATAACAAATATACTGCTTCAAAATTAGTCATTATCAAGCTATGCTGCTTATACAGCTATAAGAAATAAATTACACAAATTTACACCAAAAATTAAACGGTGTGTTCTCTCCTGAGGGCCTCAATCACCTGTTAAAGAGATTTGCATGATGATGCTGCTTAGCTTCCTGGAGCTCCACTGCAGTTCTATAGTCTTTGACTGCCTGTTCGGTCAGCCCTAGATGACCATGCACATCTGCCCTGAGCTTATACAGCAGAGCATCATCAGGCTGAAGCTGGAGAGCTACAACACAAAGACAGAATACAGTTGTATGAAATATGGCAAAAAATGCAATATTGTATGAATAAGTACAGCAGTACCACATTTAAACATACTATTAAAAACTAAAGCACTGTGCAAAAGTCAGAGAGCACCCTTCATTTGTTTACTTTCCAATCAAAATGGCTGTAAAGTAAAAGTTATTATTTTTCAGGAGATATTTCAGAGCAGATTAGATAAAAAAACAAAAAAAAACAAGAGAAAATGGGACTCCTAACAATTATGCAAGACATTGTAGACCACCAGAACTGCCACCATCAGATAAACAGCACTTAAAGCTTTCATCTTTAAGACAGAGGAGAAATAAAACTCCACTCTTGCTTCAGATCTGAAAAAATCCACAGGTGTTTTTGTCCATCCTTCCACTGTGAGAAGAAAACACTGTGGGTCTGAAAGGACTTGTAGTTGTTAAGAAGCTGTTACTGTGAAAAATAAACAAACAAAAAAACAAGAAATTTTGCAAATCAATCAAAGAAGCTGCGGGTGTTCTTAGAACAATGGACTGACCACCCCAGAGTCTAGACCTCAACATCACTGAATGTGTTTGGGATTACTTGGATCATGAGAAGCAAAAAAACCTAATTTGTAAGACTGAACTGGAACAACAACACTGCAGATCTCTCTGAAAAACTGATTGCAAGCATCCTGGAAGGAATAAAAGCAAATGGAGGACATACTAAATACTGAAAAAAACGGAAATAATTGTATAATTTTCTGTTAATATATGCTTTTCCCTTTTTTTTCTCATGCTGAAAAATGAATCAATTAATGGCTGTTTTGACTGAAAATTAAATGAATGATGGTCTCTGGCTTTTGCACAGTACTATATGAATACAATGATTTTTATTTAAAGTTTCACATACTGCACTGCAGTAAATCTAGTTAAACAGATCTAATTATGCTGTCTTTGTAATAAAACATGCAGTTGAGCAAGTGTTCTTTGAGTACTGACGATATCCACAAGATTCTGAGAATTTGCACTGTGGCATACCTGCATGAAATAGACCTTTTTAAAAATAGCATAAAAAATGTTCTTTAATTAGTATCACCAACAAAATAATTCTATTCACTTACACTATGTCTCACTATTCTCTACAAAGAGTGTTATGAATGAGAGTGGCCTACATCATAAAACTCCAATTAAAAACAAAATCTCCTCTGTAATTTCCTAAATATAGAGTGACAGCGGTGCAGAGGAGGACATTGCGCTTTTCAACTCACGGAGGGGGACAAGAGGGACAATTTAAAACCCATTTGCCTCGAACATTTCCATAAATTACCATCACTCACTCAGCACATTTACAAATGTTGTTTCCTGTGAAGCTTTATTTCAAAAGTGTGTGTATATGTAAAAACTGACTGGACATAAATGGGGAAAAACTATCAGTGTTTATGTAAGTGGACACTGCACACATATATTGCGTACACTTCTATACGCGTAGTCTATACACTGAGCACACGAACGAATCATGCACTTGAAAATGTTCAAATGGAGAGTGATTATTCAATTCATGAAGAGCAGACTCACTCACTACAACACCACCTGTTCACTGATATTCCTCCTGTTTTATCCTCAGACAAGGCAAATAACTGGTCCTAATAATATAATTCTTCATATTATAAATACATGAAAATGTGTCAATTTGAAGCAGATTTTAACTTCACAATTTTAGGTCTTTGTGCTGTTTGAGCAGATGCAGTGGAAAAATAGCACTGGGTTTACACTGTAACCATAGTAACCATCTGCCTCTTGTTTTACACAAAAGAAGAAGGAGTGTCTTGGTTACACGAGCTGTAATGTATTTTTGTTTTCTTTTTTGGGTTTGGGGCAGACAGACAGGGTTCAGTTCCATGATGTTTCTGTGGAGGTGAATATGTTCACCGGGCAAAAAAGTAACCTGTAAACTGAATAATAAGTGTACAAAGGTGGCTGATGCAGCATAGGCAGACAAGGGAAGACAGCTGTGTCATGTCTTCAACATCGCTCTGACAATCAATCTGACAGACACCTCGACTTTGATATTGTCCATGTTTTGTCAAGGAAAGGCCATCCAGTCACAAACTATTAACATATCTTATTGGCATCCATAAAATTAAGCCTAAGAATGGCTAATTTGCTGTATCTCATCTTAAAATGATACAAGAGTGACAGCACAGCACATTCAGATAACAGAGGTAGGCAATATAGTGATATGCTACTGTTATTATGATAAATTGTCACAATAAGCTTTTCTGAGTATATTATTTATATCATTGGTACTTCGAGGACACTCAAAAACTGCATGTGTCTTCAGGAAAACCTAAGATTTAGACCAATTAAGAGGACTCTGTAAAACCAGTGTACAGTAACTGCATCAACTGCATTACACACTACTAACTGTTTTTCTCCTCTCATTCCTTTTCAAAAAGTTTATTTTTGCGAATGTTAAATGCTTTTTTCTGTCTTGCTGGTGCTTTTTGTTCATTCCAACAGGTTGACAAATTTCTGTAAAGCTAAATATTGTGAAATATATGGAGTATCGTCAAAGTGTCTGACAACTTTTGTGATGCTATGTTCTTGCCATATCACCCAGAATTTTCCGAAAATAAGAAAAAATATCCACATCAACATTTAAAATTCCTGCATAATTAAATGGTTAATATGTAAACGAAGTCATTTAGAAATGTTTGATGTGAAATTCACCATTCTAAAGAAACTTACTGCATCAGAATTATTCACAGGTGTGTTGATAGGAACCAGATGTCCGAAGAGTTTAATGCCTCTAAAATCTACTTCACAGAAAGTTATTACATTAAATAGTTATGAAAATGCAGTTTTTAGATAAGCTTTGGGCCTAAAATGTATTTTTTATCTATTCATGACAGAGATGTACATGCAGGTTGTTATACAATCTTAAAAAAGGTGCCACAAAAGGTTCTTAGATTGATGCCATAGAAGAACCACATTTGGTTTACTAAAAGCCTGTCTGAAAAAGGAATCTGTCATGTGAAGAATCTTTTAACGGTTTAATGAACCTACACTTAATGTAAAGTTTCTTTTAAGAGCTTATGGATTCTTCCTAGAACTTTTACATTATGCGGTTCTTTAAACTTTAAAAAGGTTCTTCACACTCATACATCTCCTTCACAAAAATCGACATGTGCAGCTGGTCATTTTGGATATTTAACAAAATCTTTGCCATATTTGCATCATAGACATCACAACACCTGGTTCCCATTACATCCCACCACTGTAAAGAAATCTGACTTTCAAATTAAACCACACTCCACACCTGTTTACATCCCAAGAATTATGTAAAAATTATGTAATTATGTAAACATTTTGAAAAATTCCCTTTAAATAAAGGAACACTGTGTAGTTGCCCACCTTGTGTATAGTCCCTCTCTGCTGCTTTGTACTTCCTGAGAGAGAAGTACAGATTGGCTCTGTTAAAGTAGACATGAGCTGAGTGAGGGTTGAGGTTGAGAGCCTCACTGAAGTCCCTCAAGGACTCTGGAATTTTCCGCAATAGAGCCAGAGTGATGGCTCGGTTCAGGATGGCCGACTCGTCACTGGGGTCGAGGTGAAATGCCCGACTGTAGTACTCACACGCCTGAGCCAATCCCATCCAACCACAGAGGAGAAAAACAGAGGAGAGAGTGACACAGTGATTGATGCTCATATACGCTTTCTAGCTCTCAACCATCCTCAATTTGACATGAAATTAGCATGTGCCCCTCAATTTTACCTGTTCAAACTGTCTGTTGTAGAAAAACAGGTTAGCCGCATTGAAGAAAGCAAGAGCGCATGTGGGGTTGAGGGAAATGGCTCTCTGATAGTCACTCATGGCGCTGGGTTTGTCTCCCATGAACTGGTTTATCACACCTCGGTTCGTCAGAAGCCGATCTGAGTGAGGATTGCACTGCAGAAAAGGTACAGACACACTTGTTCCAACTTAATAAAAAGGGTTTTGTATTTGGATTTTTATTTGGTAAATCCCAAGTTTTTAACATACTTGAACTTATTTTTTTCTCTTAATTTACATATCTCACAACTGAAGCTGGTATAACTTAAAACATATTCTGCATATTCTTTTAAAGTTCTCACTTCCTTAAAAAGTATTCATTACAATTCAACCCCTTTTTCTTCTTATTACATGTTATGTGGTTTACATGGTAAAAAGCACAGAATTTGTCTTTGCAAAAGTCAGAGACCACCTTTTGTTTATTAAATTTACAGGCAAAACAGCCATTAAACACACCCTTTGCCTTAACTACAGCTTCCATTTTATTAAGAGACTTGCTTTCAGTTTTTCAAAGAAATCTGTAGACAAATATTTCCACACCTCCAAAGTTCAGTCTTAGAAGTTGGGTGCATTTTCTGCTTCTCACGAAGTTGTCTAAAACCCATTCAGTGATGTTGAGGTTTGGGCTCCACATCCAGTCCATTGTTCTAAAAATACCAGCAGCTTCTCTGTCTGTTTTGCAAATGTTCTTTTTTGTCTATTTCCTTTTCTCAGTAAAGGCTTCTTGACAGCTACATATCCTTTCAGACTCATACTGTTGAGTTGTCTTCTCACAGTTGAAGGATGGGCAGAAACACCTGTGGATTTTTTCTAATCTGAGGCAAGAGCAGAGCTTGATTTTCTCCTCTCTCTCAAAGATGAAAGCTTCAGGTGCTGTTTATCTGATGGTGACAGTTTTGGTGGTTTACCAGATTTGGCATGGTAATTTGTGCATCCCATTTTCTTTATACTTCAAGATTTGGAAACACCTGTTATTCTCACTCATTTAACTTTGACTTTTCCCCTCATTTATGCAAGTGAATTATCTTATATATGATCTCCTCAGAAACATCTCCTGAAAAACTAATGGCCTGTAGTTAATATCCCCTTTGACTGGAAGTGTGATTAATGAAGGGTGGTCTCTGACTTTTGTACAGTATGCTCGAATTAAAAAAAATGCATACTGAATCAAAACAAGAATAACTGAACTGCTCTATTTTGTGCTACTCCTAAACAACACATGATGCAGTGGAATATAAACCATGAGTAGCTTTGCCCCTGAGCAACAATTCTATATATACATACCTTTCTATCTCAAAATTAGATCAACTGCTGTGGGCACAGATACCTTCAGAGCATTGTTTATGTCCTGGAAGGCTGCAAATGTGTTCCCCATCTGCAGACTGACAATAGCTCGTCCCTCATAGGCAGCCCAGCACTTTGGATTAACCTCCACAGCTACGGTGAACTGATTCCAGGCTCTCTTGAAGCATCCAAAAACCTGGGGCAAAGGGAAGGGATACTGGCAAAGCTCAGTAAAATCAATAACAGCATGAGGGGCAACAGGCACTTTGAGATATCACTGCCATGCCAAAAGGAAAGACAAATAATGAGGGCAAGGATTAATTCAAGGCCACAGGAATCAAATATCTCTGTTGGTTTGGGTGCGCATTTCCTTTGCACTTCGGGCATCATCCACCAGCATATTTGTGTTTTCCAGTATCAGTTGTGGATTTTGAGAAGTGAAAAGGGTCAGATGTGTTAAATGGCCTAAACAAGCAGATATAAAGCAGGCAAAAATGTGAGCCATAGCAGACCAGAATGGTTTGTACTTGCTTTATATTCGACTCTGACTGCTTAGCCCTTTCTTTCTCACACCTAGCAGAAGGCTTTTCATGGGTAACAGTATTCAATAGGACAGAGCTTCACATCTTTGCCAATGGAAGATAAGGTGTAAGCCTTCTTTGCTGCTGTAAATACAGCAATGGGCATGCTGGAAAACAGAAAGCTGCAGTGCAGAATCAACATTGAGGAGAAAGAAAAATGGGGAAAAGCTTTGAAATTAATGCTGCTGACATCAGATGTTTGACTACACTATATGAAATTAATTTAATCAGTAGAGCTTTGTTAACTATTTCAAAGTTACAATTATGAAAATATGGGTCTATATGATATGATGGTTGCCCAATCTTATTCACAAAGGCCCGGTATGATGGAAAGTTTTCATTCTAACCGAGCAGAAGCACACGATTCCACTTGTTTAATCAGCTGGTATGAGCCTTCAAATAAGGGATTACTTAAAGTGAGACACTATCCTACATTTATGTAGATTCTAGTCAAAATGGCAGAAAACTGTGCTGACATTTTCCCGATGGTTCTTCCTCATGAATGTAGAAAAAAAAGAACTTTATCTCTTTATTTAGAGGGCAGTGTTTGTGTGATATGGAGCTGATAATGTGAACGGTATGCAGCAGAGATGAATGAAGGTATTGATTCACTTTTGGAATTCTTCAGGTCAGCCCTCCAGCAGAGTGTAATTCCAAACATCATCTAATACAGCTGCTTCTGAAGACCTTGGTTAGTTCTTTCAGGTGTGTTGGATTGGAGTTTAAATTATCCCAGCCTTAGGTGCAGATTTATTGTGGAATAAAAGAAAGTAAATCTGGCTGTGCATGCACAAACAATCTCAAAAAAGAATGCTGGATCCACAGGAAAAAGCTCACTTTGTCACACCCCTGAGTTTATTTGCATTGCTAGAATAAAATATGTGACTTCTACTAGATATAACCCACTTTCCTTAAGCTTTACTAGTGAAATACAGTATAACACAGAACTAAACAAAGTGATGTGCAGTACTGTGCAAAAGCCAGAGACCACCTTTCACTTAATTACTAGCCAAAATCATGATTAACAAGTTATTTATTTTTCAATGTCAGGAACACATATATTTACAGAAAATGACACAGAAGCCTCAACAATTAAATATAATATCATTGTTTCAGTATGCAGTGTGTCCACACTTTTTCTTTATTACAGCCTCTGTAATTTCCACACCAAACCACCTGTGGATTTTTTACAATTTGAAGCAAGAGTGGAGCCTGATTTTCTCTCAGCAATGAAAGCTTTAAGGACTGTTAATCATTTTTTGAATTCCAGTTTTGGAAACCCAAATCCCACTTATTTTCCTTTGACTTTCCCTTTCCTTATGCAAATAAAGTAGCTTATATCTAATCTCTCAAGAAATATCTCAGGAAACTAAATAGGACTTAATTAATGGCTGTTTTGACTGGAAATGAAATTTTAAACAAATGGTGGTCTCACAATTGCACAGTACTGTATGTGAAGCGCACTCCTACTTGGTTGGAATGAAAATGTGTAGCCACTCTGGCCCTTTTTGACTAAGACTACTGAACCCTTTTTCAAAGGGCTGACCTCCCAGAGACAGGACTGGTCTTATTGGTGACGAAGAAGTACATGGAGACATTTTAATTCACAATGTCAAAAGGGAGCGATTCACAGTCAAATTGAGTTATATACCCTATATTGCCAAAAGTATTTGCTTGTCTGCCTTCACACGCATATGAACTTGAGTGACATCCCATTCTTAATCCATAGGGTTTAATATGATGTCGGCCCACCCTTTGCAGCTATAACAACTTCAACTCTTCTGGGAATTTTTGACCATTCTTCCAGAAGCGTATTTGTGAGGTCAGACACTGATGTTGGACGAGAAGGCCTGGCTCGCAGTCTCCGCTCTAATTCATCCCAAAGGTGTTCTATCGGGTTGAGGTCAGGACTCTGTGCAGGCCAGTCAAGTTCTTCCACACCAAACTCGCTCATCCATGTCTTTATGGACCTTGCTTTGTGCACTGGTGTGCAGTCATGTTGGAACAGGAAGGGGCCGTCCCCAAACTGTTCCCACAAAGTTGGGAGCATGAAATTGTCCAAAATCTCTTGGTCTGCTGAAGCATTAAGAGTTCCTTTCACTGGAACTAAGGGGCCGAACCCAACTCCCGAAAAACAACCCCACACCATAATCCCCCCTCCACCAAACTTTACTCTTGGCACAATGCAGTCAGACAAGTACCGTTCTCCTGGCAACTGCCAAACCCAGACTCGTTCATCGGATTGCCAGATGGAGAAGCGTGATTTGTCACTCCAGAAAACACATCTCCACTGCTCTAGAGTCCAGTGGTGGCGCTTTACACCACTGCATTCAACGCTTTGCATTGTGCTTGATGATGTAAGGCTTGGATGCAGCTGCTCGGCCATGGACACCCATTCCATGAAGCTCTCTACGCTGTTCTTGAGCTAATCTGAAGGCCACATGACGTTTGGAGGTCTGTAGCGATTGACTCTGCAGAAAGTTGGTGACCTCTGTGCACTATGCGCCTTAGCATCCGCTGACCCCGCTCTGTCATTTTACGTGGCCTACCACTTTGTGGCTGAGCTGCTGTCATTCCCAATCGCTTCCACTGACTGTGGAATATTTAGTAGCGAGGAAATTTCACGACTGGACTTGTTGCACAGGCGGCATCCTATCAAGGTACCACGTTGGAATTCACTGAGCTCCTGAGATCGACCCATTCTTTCACAAATGTTTGCAGAAACAGTCTGAATGCCTAGGTGCTTGGTTTTATACACCTGTGGCCATGGAAGTGATTGGACCACCTGAATTCAATGATTTGGATGGGTGACTGAATACTTTTGGCAATATATTGTAGAGCGGAGGTTAAACATACTGATTCTGAGGGGGATATCCTGAAGCCATGGCAGTTTGATTAATGAGGCCTCACTTTTTTCCATTCATCTATGTTTGCAGAAGCTTGAACTTCAAGAGAAGTTTACATTATTCGAACATATTTCAAAAAATGAAGAATGCGTTATAATATCTTAATACAAGGTATGAGGTAAATAATATCCACAAGTACAGTAAATGTGCTTGAAAGCATACATCCCATAGTTGCACTGAACCTTCATTTAAGGCTTAAAACAGAGGTGTCATTAGGTTTTTAACATCCACCAACACATAACCTAGCAACTAGCTCACACTGCATGAAAACCATAATATTATGCAGAACATATGATTATACAGTACCAATTACTGAATATGTCACACCTACATGTGTGTCATATCTATAGGGTGTTATAAGCCCCCAATATCCCACATTATCTATTCTTTCAGACAAAGCCCAACGACTGTTGTGTCATATCACACTCATAAATAGCAGCATGTACTGTGACAAATACTAAAGCAATTGAAACTCATTTGATCAGTTTAATGAGAACTGTAAATGAATAGTCAGAGCAGTTCAACAATGTAATAGGCTCTGTGCTGGGCAATTAATTCTGAAGGGACACATTCTTATATGCACCAGCAAACTGAATTAGTTGTATTCTAGTTATCCCTCCCACGGGAGACATGTTTTGCACAGTTAGAATGGCAGCCCAAGGCATATATAAAGCTGCAATAAATGTGATAAGGCTGTCAACACATGGTTAGCTCTGTGAGAGACAGAAAAAGACACTTTCCTTTCAGAAAGCTGAGATAACATGGCATAGCCAAGTCCACTTGCCTTGAGCAAGGCCATTAAATGTTACATTCTGCATTCTTGTGAGAGTATTTCAAAACCTTTTCCTTAAAGATGTAAATTATGCAGTCATGTATCTAACACAAACCAGCACCTGGAAGTTGTAGGCCAGGCCAATGCGGGCACTGGAGCACTGAGGGTTGAGATGCAGGGCAGAGAGGAAGTCCCTTTGGGCCTGTTTGTTGGCCTGGGCATGACCGTAGTCCATGAAGACATCACCGCGTCCAACATAGGCATCAAGTAGGAAAGGGTTGAGTCTCAAAGCCTCACTGTAAGCCTCCACAGCTTCCTGCAGTTGTCCTAACCTTCAAAATACACAATAACATGATTCTAGTGCACTGTGTCATTATGCCTTCATATGCCTTCATAAATTAAAATGAGCTACTATACTGTGAAAAGACAGAGAGCACTCTTCGCTTATTTAATTTCCAGATAAAACAGCCATGAAGTACAAGGTATTCATTTTTTAGCAGAAAACACACATTTAATAGAAAATAAAAAAAATTATTAAAGACAATATAAAGTGTTCATCACATAGTGTGTCCACTCTTTGCCCTTATTACAGCTTCCTTTCATTTTATGAGACTTGCTTTCAGTTTTTCAAAGAAATCTGCAAGTTTTTCCACATGTCCAAAGTTCAGTCTTAGAAATTGGCTGCATTTTCTGCTTCTCATGATCCAAATAATTCCAAAACATGGTTAGTCATGTTGAGTTCTGGGCTCTGGTGTGACCAGTCTACTGAGAACACCAGCAGCTTCTTTGTTTGATTTACAAATGTTCTGTTTCTTGTCCATCTCCTTTTCTCAGTGATAGCATTTTGATAGCTACACATCCTTTCAAACTCATTGCGCTGTCTACTCACAGTTAAAGGATGGACAGATACAACTGTAGACTTTTTTCAGATCTGAAGTGATCTTGATTTTCTCTTTCCCAAAGATACAAGCTTTAAGAAAGTTAAAAAACATGCACACCAAGACTATTTTGACCTGAAATTAAATAAATGAAGGATTGTCTCTGACTTCTGTAGGGTATTGTAAATGATACACTGATAACACTATTCATCACTTTATGACTCTATTAATGATATGACTATCATTAATAGCCCACTACTACCATGGTGTCTCTAAGTGTCCTTGATGAATGAAGCAGACATTAAAACTCCATTTAAGATCTATATACACCATCACACACACATAGACATATATATAAACCAAAGTCATCTGCACTGTCATCATCCGATCATTAGCCTGTATTACTGTATTACTTAAAAAGCTGTTCCCAAAGACATAAAACACATTTAGTAATGTGCTTGTATTTTTACCCTGGTCTCATACTGCGATGAGGTCATTCTTTTGTTACTGAAAAATGAATTCAGGCAGACAAAACAATTCCTTTGTGGCGAGCTATTGAGAAATATCTCCCATTATGCGCCATGTTTGCTGCAAGCGTTGAGCTGTGCTCTTAGTCATTCTGATGGTAGGCTGATTAAAGCTGCTCTATACGCATGCCAGAATGCTTATGTCTTTCTAATGATGATCAGTAACCAACACTGAATGAATAGTGGATGCTTGTTCATCCCATTTTGAGAAGATATTATGTTCAGATAAGAACAATAAGATGCACTGTTTACAAAGAACATCACTGACTATTAATGAAGCGTCAAACAATGCATCTGCATGCGGTGTTATACAAATGCAATTTCAAAAGTTGGGACTGTATGTGAAATGCTAATAAAAACAGAAAGCATTAATTAGTAAATTCTGTTTGACCTGTATTAAACTGAAAGTGGTACAAAAACACAACATTTTACATTTTACCTTATGAGCTAGGGGTGGGCGATATGGCAAAAATATAATATCATGATAATTGAAAAAATTTTCACGATACATGACGTCACAATATTTATTTTTCTTACATCTGATTAGTTGGAACAGACAAAAAGAACCTCTAAAAAAACACTGTCAATAATGATTTTCATTCAGCATTTCACATACCGCGTTGCACTAAATCCAGTTAAAGAGGGTAAATGAACATGCAAATGATCAATATTCTTAAAGTACACAATATCCATAATATGGTCAGAAAAGCATACTGTAGCATATTGGGGCATCATTTTTTATGATAATAGTAAATATTGTCATATTGCGCAGCCGTACTGTGAACTTTGTGAAAACTGTGAAGTTTTTAGTAAATATATGCTTATATGATTGCATCACCTGCGTAAGATGTTTTTTGAACATTTCACTATGTTCCTAGTCTCAGTTTGCCTCAAAAAGTTTTCTGGCATTTGCCCTTAGGCAATGTTGTCCTTACTGTACTCATATGAGACTGTTACAAGACTGTGGAGAAAGAACAAACAAACAAACAAACCAAAAAAACAGAACATCCCTATTTCAAAGTCGAAATGAAAAATATTTTGTACTTCTTCATGTGGTACATTTTAAATGCCACCTGGGACTGCAAATGCAATGCAGAGCAGCAACAGTGGGGCCATATGTGCTTCTCACTTCAAGGACTAGATCAAATGCACAATAAAATACCATTCAGCTTAAAATGTGTGGTTTACAGTTGTATGCAAATGTTTGAACAACCCCAATCAAATTATATGCTGTGTTGATTTTCTAAGTGAAAATAAGTTAACACATCCTCTACAGGAAACTTAAATATGACACATTTCTACAAATTTCAGTGCGCAAACTATTTTTCTTTTTATTGACTTTTACATATTGGAAAAAATAAAAAATCAAATGTGCCATAACGTTTGCAGAGGTTATTTTTTATGTTTTTCCACTATGTTAAATTCAGCAAATAAACAGTAAATGTGTATTAAAATATGCAAAATATAATGTGTACTTATTTTCACTTTGAAAATCAATAAAACATGTAATCTGACCAGGGATGCCCAAAGATTTGCATACAACTATAGTCACTGCAGACATTCAACCTGATTCAACCTGATTCAACGCCTCCCCGTCACCGCCCCCAGCTTGCAGCGCGGCCGCCTGGGTCGAACGTAAGGTATCCTGAAGCGGCCTCGGGACTCGCTCCTTGCCTTGGTGCCTCTCGTGGCCGGCACTATCGTCCTCGTCCTCCTCCTCCTCACGACGTCCCTCGCGTGACCCGCGATCGTCGGCGGAGCTCGGGCTTTGCGCTCCGCCGCCTCCCCACTCGCGGCTCTCTCCCTGCTGTCCTCGCCAAGGTTCGTCGCCGCTGTGTTGGGGGGCGGGCGCATGCCACATTATGTAATTTTACAAGTGCTCAATATGAACCTCCTCCAGCTGTACGGACAACATCAACACGATAGTCAAATTCATCCCATACTCAACTGAGCATGTCAGGTGTCACTGTACTCACAGCTCTTTCAATGTGATTTCGAAAATCATCCAGTGTTGTGGAACCAAAGGCGAATGCTCTGAGCTATTGGAGCTTCACTGCTGACGAAAATGCACGTTGCACAGTTCTGACGGATTCACTCTTATTGTAGTGGAGAACGCAAAACACTTTCTGCTCAGGGGTCGCCATCTCCTCGCAGACTTAAGGGAGCCAGTGCCGGTCAGAAACTCTATGATCCCCTAATTCATGTGGTATGTGATTGGTTCCTAGGCGCCTCACGGTTGTAAAAATATGCCGCTTTGAAATCGGAATTATCTTTTTGAATAACCCTGTATATTCAAATGTAGTTGGATCAAACACAGTGAGAACAAGACAAATGTCTAGTATTTAAGTCTGTTACATGTTTTCAGCATGCATGTTATGCTTAAACTGTAATATTTTTTACTTTGTGGCAATATAAGCCTTTATAGCACTGTGTTTCACCACTTTAGTCCTTATAAGCCCCTTGTGCTGTATAGCCTTCCTTACTTTATCAAACACTAGCTAAATATCAAGCTCTTCATGAGTTAAATCTGGTGTATTAGAGTGGAAAAACACAAAACTGTGTAGTGTAGAGGGACCCTCGGGACTGGAATTGGAAAGTACTCCTATAGAGTGATATCATTACTAATGCAAAATAGTCCATAGAGACAACAGATTAATAAATCTTTCATACAAACTCTACACTTGGATACAGTACAACTAGCCTGTACACTGTACCTCTACAACTTCAAAGACTATGGAAGGCTAGGAGAGAACAGACCTGTGGAAATGGACTCCCAGTGAATGGTGGATAGATGCATCCTCAGGATGTTTCATGGCAGCAGCTTTAAAGTCCTGCAGGAAAACAGAAAAACTCCATTATTATTCTATTCATTTCTCTTGTAGTGTTGCAAGACTAAATACAGCATTTTTCTACAAGTATTTTTTTGTCATGAAATATTCTATATTAAATATAAAATATGTTCAGAATTTCACTTTTAAACTCTCCTCTCAGAGTGTAAATAATGAGAAAAAAATGAGAATTTATTTTGGGACACAAGTTAACAATTTAAAAAAATTAACACATGTGGCCAGAAGTACCTAAAAATGAGAAGTGATGTTCTTATATATTATTTTATCTTTTCTCCAAACTACTTCTATTCACAATTTCACAAGCTCATTGTTTCAAAGTTTCATTGAAATGCTGTAAATGATGGAAGGCACTGTAGAGAAATGACTGTACTATTAGCAGTAGAAGTAATAACACTAAGAAGAAGAACATTAAAACTGCAAACACTGCAGTGTTTGACCTGATTAATAGAGTTTAACTGCAGTTCAGTCTACCTGAAGGGCATTGTAATGGTCATCAAGTTCCACATAGACAAGGGCGCGATTTATCAGGACTTTAAGCTCAATCTCCTTCTGACTGGGAAGAAGCAGCACTATGCTATAGTCTCTGAGAGCCTTTAAGAAAGCAAAAAGAATGGTCCTAAGCATCAGAGGAGAGGATATGCAGTAAAATGTGCAAATGGTTCAGATGCAACATTGATGAAAATTGCTCTAGAATGTATTATGCTTCTGAAAGAACAGTGAATAAGAAAAAATATCACCAGCTCATATTCCTTCAGCTGCTGATAACACACGCCACGGTTGTAGTATGCAAAAGAGCAGGCACTATCGATTTTGATGGCCATTGTCAAATCCTCCACTGCCCCCTTATACACCTGAAACAGAACAAACTTCTTAATCAAAACTAATCAAGAACACATTCTAAAGTATTTAAATGATTAAAGCACAGCAGCACTGGACATACAAGGAAAGATCTGGGAATTATTCAAAGCTCACGTTTTGGCTTCAAAATTTGAGTTTTACCTTTGAATGGAATTTGAGAGCTCCTCTGTATAAGTAGGCTCTGACACACTTTGGCTGGATCCTGATAGCTTCATTACAGTTGAGAATTGCCTTTGAATATCGTCCTTTAGCTCCATAAAAGGCAGCTCGACTTAGGTACACCTAATAATACCAGGAAAATACTGGAGTTAATAGTACAGTCTGTTTAAGAATGTCTCCATGAATATGCCATGAATTCTTTAGTAAGTTAGTAGTAAAACAGCTTGTCAAAAAACATCATTAAATAAAAAAAAATCAGTTCTATTCATATATTTATACATATAATTTTGCTGTATATATTTAGTTGGCCTTTTTATACATACTGTGGTATCTTAAAATGTAAGTGACTAGACACCAATTCCCTTTGATTCACCATATAATTTACATTTATTTGCAAGTTTTATTACATAATTAAAGCACCAATATTTCACAATTTCACAATAACTGTATCATTCCACTGAGCACCGTTTGACAAGTAACGACTTGCTTTTCACTGCAGCTCACTGTTACTAAGTTTCTACTTTAGTACATAGAAAAACATTTATTACAGCATCTATAAGATAATAATTGACCTGCATGTCATTTGGTCATACTTTGAAGAGGAGTGTGACAACAGGCCTACAAAAAATTCCAAACTTCTCGTCTCTAAGCAAGCTTTTCAGTTGGCAGCTGTGACAACTAAACAACTTGAACGATTCGATTACGATTCAGAGGGCTGCGATGCGATTATAAAATGATTATCGATGCATCTTGATGCATCTTTTTTTTTTTTTCTCCCTACTGTCTGAGGCCTTGGTAGTTTTAAAGCAAAGTATTTGTAATGATCCATAATGAATTTACTTCCAATATCTTTCATTAATAAATCAAATGGAAGTGATATGGCAAGTGAACTAGAAGGCTCTCATTCACTGCCTTTGGAGCACATGAGACGCTGCTGCCACTCATCTGCGATAAAACGCGCAGTTACGGTGACATAAGATCCAGTGGTAATGGATGTCCACACAGCACGTTACAGCTGTCCTACCCGTTTTCTTTAGTGATTTTATAACTTCAGTTTTGGTCATGTTGTAGAGAGAGGGGGGAGTCGCTGTGTCAGAAAAATATCCCTGAGACAGGATGTGTGCAGCATAGCACAAAAGCCCTGTTTTGCAACGACTAAGAACCGGCATGCAGACTGCAGGTCACACAGCAACGATGCGTTATTCGCATTTATAAGCAGCGCAGTTGGTTTCCTGGCAAGTTAAATCTGCAACAAGAGACTGTCAAACACTAAATGGTTGCGAAGATGAAGTCGCTTCTCTTTCGAATTTTCCTGTTCCACCTTAAATGGTGCCGCTTTTACATTCGGCGCCTCGGTCAGAATTTAAGGTGTAACGGAAAAATTCAAACAAGAAGCTGGAGAATAAGAAGCGACTTCAGCCTCGTAAAACAGTCGAACGCTGAGAGACATTTTATAATAAGCTGCTCTAGTTTTGAGGAAAAGTTTTCTGGCGGAGATGGGAGCAAAGCGGCTATTAAAGCTTAAAGCAGAGCAGAGTAAATCTGCGCTCTCGTTTATATTGTTTGGGCCAATACTAGGACATTATCCCATACTGAGACATACTGGACATTAAATGTTGTGGCTCCCAAGCTGGTTTGATTTTTGTTGAAAGGACAAAATGGCTCTTCTTATCATTTGGGTTGTGACTCCTGACCTAACCTGGCTTTTAATGCAGAGGGAGCCGGTCGGATTTCTCACTCATCCAGTAGTGTTTTGTTGTGTGCCGCCACAGACTGTCCAGGTGCTGCACTTCCGCACTTCCAAGTTCTGCCTTTTACGTTCCGTCAACATTACGTTATCAATTATATATTCAGAAAATCGATTTTTCACATTTGTGAATCGATTCAGAATCGTTCATATCCGCATCGCGATGCATCTAAGAATCGATTTTTTCCCACACCCCTAGAATACATCAAATATACAACATGCTTTACAGACTGGTTAGAACAAAATGACTTTCAGGTTAATCTGGCAAATACTGCACCTGATAGTATACAGCTGTATAACTCTACAACGCAAAAGGCTATTCACTATTTCTACTGGAGGAGAACAACTGTCAAAATTAAAGAACATTTGATACAATAGACGGGGCTTCTTTGCATTACATGGCTGCTTTACATTTACATACAGAACTCTTGTATAAAAGCAATAAAACACAGATTGTGTGTTATCAAGAATAACATCACTGCTGTGATTTGGTCGCAGGCATGAACTGAAGAGGAGTACCATAGATCATTACAGATAACACACTCTCTCGTTTTCTACCGCTTATGCATTAGTTTTAAACTACCTGTAAAGGCCTACTGTGTTGCATTAATGCAATAATATTCACAATATTGGTTCACTGATTTTTTCATGTATTCTAAATGACCAAACTGTTGACCAACAGGAGGCGATTGACTGGTAATTTTGCTGAGGACTGGGAAGAAGACGATACATTCCAGTGTGTATGTCCTCCAAACATCTAACATAACATTTTGAAGGTCAGGCAGCCAATAAAATCAAATAAACAAATCTGTCTCTTAAGTAAAACATTGGAAGGATGGTACAAGGCACATTCCTCAGACTAACAAAACAAGAAATGTCTTTTTTCCTTGAGCGGATTTGTTGAGTTATGAGATGGAAGGCTAGCTACAAGTTGAAATGACCTGAAAGAAGTTAGGGTTGATGTACAGCGCTCTGTTGAAGTCTTGCACACTCTTGGACTGCTGTAGGCGTATGCGGCACAGGCCTCTATGGTGGTAAGCATCAGCGTGGTCAGGATTTATTCTAACTGCATTGCTGAAAGCTTCCAGAGCCTGAGGCAGTAAAGAGTCTTCTCCCTGGTATCAAGCAGCATCATATAACATATAAGAAGGGGATACTGATAGTGGTTAGTCACAAGACATGTTTTAGTGTAGGAGGATCTCTACTGTCCACATAAGAGCATATTCCTTATATCAGCAGAACCTGAGCCATGTAGCACATGCCAGTGAGGTAGTACAGCTCAGAAGCCTCAGGCACATCACAGAGGTTCGTCTCAGGGGGACACAGGAAAGACAGAGCTTTTTTGAAGCTCTCTACAGCTTCCTACACAGACAATAAGAGCAATTTTGTATAGTGTTTTTGGCATTACATTGCATTTTGCAACGGATGTCATACAGACATCAGCAAAACCACATTAAAAGACAGTTAAGTCAGTATAGTAAAAAAAACAAACTCGTTAACAAAAAAGAGAGATTTGGACACAAAGGCTACACAATCTGGATCTCAGATTGAGATTTGTGTTGTGTACCATTTAAGCCGACTCAGTTTTGGATTGCTGACACAACAAACAGGAAGCCTCACAAAATGTCCCTCCTACCATGAACTTGCGTGCCTTCATCTGCGTCTTTCCTAACAGGATGAGGACAGGAGAAGAGGGGTGGGAGTTGGCAGCCGACACCAGGCAGGCAATAGCTTTGGCATCGTTCCGCAGGAAAGACTGGACAGCTGCCTGCTGGACCAGAGACGAGCCCAGAACTACAAGCGAACAGAGGAAACACTGCAGAGGTCCTTTACCAATGTACTGTGACTACAACAACACAATGTGTAACCATGTGTTGTTTAGGTTCGCATTAGTTCTACATCAGGGGATTTGCATAACACAGTGAAAAACAGCTTAATATGAAACAGATATGCTTCAAGAACCTTGTTAACCTCACTAAACTCAGAATTACAGTACTGTGCAAAGGTCAGAGACCATCTTTCATTTATATATATTTTTCAAAAATGGCTTTTAAGTACAAGTCATTCATTTTTCAGGAGAAATTCAAAGGAAAAATTCATGAAAAAAACTGAAGTTTCCACAACTGGAGTTCAAATAATAATTCAATGTGCAAGACCTGGTACTCCACCAAAAAAGTCACTATCAGACAGACAGTGCTTAAAGCTTTCATCTTTGGAAGATAAGAGAAAATCAAGCTCCACACTTTTAGATCTGAAAAATCCACAGGTGTTTCTGTCCATCCTTCCCCTGTGAGAAGACAACTCACTATGAGTCTGAAAGGATGTGTAGCTGTCAAGAAGCTGGTACTGAGAAAAGGAAGTAAACAAATAAATAGCAAAAAGCAGCTAGTGTTCTCAGAACAATGGACTGACAACCTCAGAGCCCAGACCTCAACATCAATGGACATGTTTGAGTTTACTTGGATTGGGAAAAGACTGAACTTGCAGATTTTCTTAAAAAACTGAAAACAAGTCTCCTGAAAAGTATGGAATCTGTAAAAAGGCAAAGGGTGGACACACTAAATGCTGAAATAAATAATTGCTGTAATAAGAGTTTGTTGTTGAGGCTTCTGTGTAAACATGTATTTTTTGCTTTATTTCCTGACTGAAAAACAAATAACTTGTTTGTTGTCATTTTAATTGCAAATTAAACAAGTGAAAGGTGGTTTCTGGCTTTTGCACAGTACTGTACAGCACTTTGTTTAGTTCTGTGTCAGACTGTATTTAACTAGCATAGCATATGTCTAGTAGAAGTCAGTTGTTCTCTTTTAGCAACTCAAATAAACTCAGGGGTGTGACAAAGTGAGCTTTTTCCTGTGGATCCAGCAATCTTTTTTGGGATTGTTTGTGCATGCATAGTCAGATTTGCTTCCTTTAACTCCACAATAAATCTGCACCTAAGGCTAGGATAGTTTAAACTCCAGTCGAGCACACCTGAAAGAGCTAACTAAGATCTTCAGAAGCGGCTTTAGTAGATTATGTTAGGAATTACACTCTGCAGGAGGGTTGCCCTGAAGATGCAGGTTTTGAAAAAATTCCAAAATGAATAGATACCTTTATTCATCTCTGCTGCATACTGTACACAGAATGTTGCCAGGTCAAACAGCCCCATATCACACAAACACTGCCCTCTAAATGAAGAGATAAAAAGTTACTATTCTTTATTGCTACATTCATGAAGAATCATCAAGAAAATAGGAACACAAATAAAAGGACAAAGGAGAATATGAATGCTAATGCAGACTATACTTTGAGGAAAACCAAGAGTTAGCAAGATTTTTTGATTATCTAGTATTTATTCTTCTCTACCATTCATTACTTTTATCTTTCTATCATCTGTTTAATATAGGGTTTCTTAGCTGTGCCTCTGAAGGTCTACAGAGAGTAGTTTCAGATCCATTTCCAATTTTACTCCTTATCTGACTTGGAAGTCAGAGTTACACTGAGGATGGAACTAAACTGTACATCTCCAAATGCAATGATGGGTACCTCTGCTATGTAATACCTCATGATGTGCAGATGTTGGGCATCTGGTCTCATGTGTATGGCTCTAGTAAGATCTTTCAGAGCTCTCTCCAGATCATTCACCTTTTGTCAAAAGAGATTCACCAATTCAATGGTGTATTATGTATCAAATAGCACACATTTCTAAATCATCTGAAAGTACTGGATACTGCTTTCCCAGGCAATCATTAGGAAACAATGAGCTTAAACTGTTTGACAGCTGTTTTCATACCTTGTGATAAGCTCTGGCTCGGCATATGTAGCCTCGTATGTGTGTAGGGTCCACTTTTAAAGCACTGCTAAACATTTTGATTGCATCATAATTCTGGTCCATTGTCAGCATGTAGATAAGTCCCAAGTTGATATGGGCTACAGCAACAGTCCTGTAGGTCAAAAGTAACAAAATGGTGGATAGAGTGGCTTTGAATTAAGAGCAGCTTGTTTAAACTGAAGAAATAGATTTTTAGTCTAAAGCTATGCATTCTTTAGACCAGATGTGCCAAACTCAGAGGGCCACAGTCCTGCAGAGATTAGAGTTTTCCCTCCTCTAACACATCAAATTCAACTTACAAAGACCTTGCTTGTTAGCTAATAAGTTGAATGGTAGTGCTTACTGAGGTAGAATGCTAAACTCTGCAGTGCTGTGGCCCTTAGGACTGGAAACAGTCCTGCATTAGACTGTAAACTTCTTTTCATTTTTTTGGTTTTGCTGTACTTTCACACAGAGAATGAAGTGGCTGTCACCTGTCGAGTTTGATCACAGCTTCAAAGTCAGCCATGGCCTGCTGCCACTGCTGGCACTCCGTGTAGAGAAGGCCACGATGAACGAATGCACCGAGATTCTCTGAACTATCATTGATAAGCACTGGAGCACACATACGCACAGACACATACACACAGATAATGAACAGAGCTGCCTAAGAAAGTAGGAAATTTTGAGACCATCCTTTACAAAGGCCTGCCAAAATTCCCAAAGCATATGGTCACTGAGAAAAGACAGTATATTACATTCACTGTTAGTGTTTGACACACTGTGTAGCAGAGCACACTGTGTACGTGATGTACCTGCTCAGCGCTTCTATAATAACGTTAGATCCATTTCTTCTCAGGTCATCTATTTACAAAATATTGTCAGTAATATTGCCAATGATGTAAAAATACAAAATATTTCAAGGTATCAGATATGGTGGGCCTCAACAAAAATAAAGCAAAGGGGATATAAGTATATGACCCAGACTCATATGACCCAGACTAATCTCACACCTCTAAACAGTACATGACAGCTGTCACAGGAATGAATAGAAGAACAGAAAACAAAGCAGGAAAAATTTTGATGTTATGCAGAGGAGATGAGGTGTATTCATGGCCATTGGAAATCAAGGGTCTGTACAGAGAATTATGTTCACTTTACATGCTTTGTGTGTTTATTTTTAGCTCTTCGGTAAAGACTAAATGTCCTCATTATGAGAGGAAAACATTTTTAACAAGTATTCTCCAAAATTTTGCCATGTCCAATTCCATTCACTAGTTAGGTCTCCCCCAGTTACACAATGCAAGTGGACAGCTCAAAATGCTTGGAGGACATTCACCTGCACTTTCTATTGGTCAACATTTTTTGAGTTTGCAGCTGTTAGCACTAACTAGCCTAGCAGTGTCCACTAAAGGGCAAACTAGGCTAGCCATACTTGTAATGGAACTGAACTGCTTAAATATCTAAAGTTATTCGCTGCGTTAATGTAAAGACACTCGTTTAGAGCAGCAGCATTTTGTAAATGCCTGTGAAACAAGAAGATATTGAAATAACAGTCTTCATAAACTCCAGAATGGAAAGGCCAACCATGGCGTTAAGCATACTCCCCTTATTCTAGTGAATAAATATTACTGCTTATCAGCTGTCTCACGGCAACAGTACCTCGTACCTGGCATTAGTGCTACTTTAACGTTATTTTTCTCGACCCACAGTACAAAAAATTCAACAATTTCCTGACCAGCACACCTGATTCAGCTCATGGAGGGCTCGGTAATCAGCTGATGAGCTGCATCAGGTTCTACAGGGAAAAGAAGTGTTTAAATTGCTCATATTGACGAATATGCCAGGAAAACACTGCTCTCAGCAGTGCCAAAAATCAGAAGCAAAAGAAAAATTTCAGAAGCAAAAAATATATCATCAAAATCAGCAAGCAGAAAAAAATAAAGCAAAAACTGGCAAAACTGTAGAAAGATTGATTTAACTGTAATGATTTGTATTTGCAATGTATTTTTAGACATTTTGATACTCAATATTTTGCTTGTGGATTTTATTATTTTATTTGAAACCTTTGGCACAAAATTAACTCCATACAAGAGAGAGAGGCCAATTATACTCTCATGGACTGGATGGGTGGCATCACCAGGGAATGAACTTGTAATCTCCCAACAACAGGGCCAAAGCTTAGACAGCTGAGCCCCTTAGGAGCCCTGAAAACATGACAGTTTTGTACATGTGAGGACATCTGAAAAGTCCTTGCCAGAGAAACTGCTCTTTGCAGCTGTGTGAGTGTGTGTTTGTGTGTGTGTGTGCGTGTGTGTGTGCGCGTGCTTATTACCAGAAATACTGAAGTCTCTTAAGGCCAAATCAGGCTTTATCTTCCTGAGCAGACAACCACGATGGTAAAATGCCAGCCAGTCACTGGGATCCAAGTGCACAGCCAAAGAAAAGTCCTCAACAGCCTCTTGAAAAAGGCCAAGCTTGGCAAAGATCTTTCCTCTGTAGGTCCTACACAGTTCAGTGAAAAAATTAGCAAGGCAATTATTAAAATAAGTTAAATCATTCATTGTATTAATCATTGATCATATATAATCTGAATCCAAATAATTTGGATGTTTAGATAAGATGTGAAGATGCCTGTCTCAATGAGACACATATGGATCTTTTTTGAGGTACCTATCTAAATGTGTCCATAAATAAACACAAATAAATAAATCATATATTGGGCCTTAGAGCACCTGGCTCTGGCGTTTGTAGGCTCCTGCTTCAGCAGCAGAGTGAAGTCTTCCAGGGCCACCCTCCAGTTAGAAGTGTGGAAGTGGTGTAGGCCATGTGCCATTAGTGCATCTGTCCTCGCTGGGTTAAGGGCAAATGTCTAGATATAAAATGTGAATATTCAGATTCAGAAGGCAGGACACTTCTGGAACACTACTACAAAGATGTGTGGGCAGTCAACTGTTCAGGTACCTGCATATGAAAAAATGAAGAGACTGACATTTACTAAGTGGGGTATCTGCACGCTGACCTGACAAATCTAGATGTCATTATGTTCAAAAAAGTTCAAATATCTAAGTGTAGTGTCAGGCTGTTATTTTTGGGGGATCAAAGTCTGGAAAAAGTCTAGAGGTGTACGATCAGAATCAGCTGGGTTTGGAATCACAAACAAATTGTGTGTATATATATATATATATATATATATATATATATATATATATATTACACCCACATTATTGTACAATATATATTAATTTGATTAATTTTGTGAATAACTCAACAAAATATAGATAACTTAGAAAATTTGAATTTATTGAAAATTTGTTTTTTATTTTTTGTTTCTTTTGGCAAAAGCAGAAAACTCCAGTGGTCTTTTCATGTACCAGAGTTAAACAAATCCATATAATGGATAGAAAGTTTCTTTTGAGTGCAATATTTAACAATCTTTAATATAAAACAAGGTTAAGTGCTGAAAATTGCAACAAAACCAGCCCATTAACCGGCTATATTAAACATCTTTAAGATCAAACCTCGGAAAACCCTAAGGTTGAATCTCAAATGGCTCACTGCTCCCTATACAGTTCACTATGTGAGTTAAAAAATTAGGTTTTTATACCCAAATATTGCATTTTATCTCCATTTTTAAAATTGTGCACACATATTTACTGTTTAAATGCAGCAGCCGTTATTTTAAGACCTATGTGCTGCACTTTGTAGGGATAAGGGAGCCGTTTGAGATTCTGCTTAAAACAGTTTGCGACAGTGTTGCATCACCTAACCTGAATACTGCGCGCTGATTGGCTAAACAGATTTATTGGGTTCTGCTGGTGAACAGCACTGGCTGTAAAATTTCTGCTGTAAAATGTGAACTTGCAATGCATTGTTAATGGACAATAACGGCTTTTATAACAAAACGTCTTTAGGGTTCAGAATGCCCTATGTGTTTTACAGACAATGGGAAGCAAAGAACTCCACAGCAATCACCTCTATTCCTAAACTCGCAAAACTCCTCCGCTAATAAGGAAGCACAGAGATTACGGTCTGAAATTTGCACATGAGCATTTAGACAAAAAACAATGTACTCGAGTCAGATGAAACAAAAACAGAACTCTTTGGCTCACTGTGTTTGGAGAAACAAAGTTCTGTATCTGGTACCAAGAACATAGAAGCCACAGTGAAGTATGGAGATGGGAGCATCATTACATGGAACTGCTTTGCAGCGGTACTGGGGCATTACATTGAAGGAAACATGAACGAAGCGACTTCCCTCAACATATTATAGCAGAATTCAGTCTAATGGGCCAAGAAACTGTATTTGGGGAGAAGAGAGACGTTTCACCTAAACAACGACCCTAAATATACAGCCAAAATAACTCCACACTGGTTTCTAAAAAAGAAAGGTGCTTGCACGGTCTAGCCAATCTCCTGTCTTAATCCTACTGAAAATGTATGGGGGATTTTTAAATTACCAGTCCATCCCCTTTTAACCTTGAGGAATTTAAGATGGTTGGCCAAGAAGAATGCTAAAATATAACCACAATGCAACAACTTGTAACTTTATACCATACACATCCTAAACTGTAACTGTCAACATCGGCTTTGCATCAAAGTACTAATGTTACTAATTTGTGGTGCCTTTTTCTCTGTTCATTTTGTTTTTTTAACATCTTTATGGCTATGAATAAGTACTTTTCTGTTCATATTTGTAAGTACAAAGTGACACTATATGTATAAACTTGAAGTAGATATTGTGTAAAATTGTGTAAAAGCAGAAATTGTGTAAAATAACAAAAACAAAAGTTAAAATACTTGTTTCCCCTCACTGTATTCGCTCCTAACACATGATGTGCAATCAGTGTAAAATGTGTTTTAACCAATCACCCTATGTGTATCAGTGCATTTATTTAGCCTGCAAAAACTCTAGAAACAAAATTGGCCATAACAATTCATACTCCATACATCCCTAAATATGACCTGTTAGTAGTGTTTAGAAGGGGGCTTACTTTGGCATAGTCCTCCATGGCCAAAACGACCTCTCTTGTCTTCTCATACATCTTAGCCCTTCTGAAGTAGTTTTCAGGATCATCTGGCTTGCACTTTATGGCTTGTGTGTAGTTAATTATGGCCAGATTGCTCTCTCCTCTCATTCTGTAGATTTCTGCTCTTGACTTAAAGGCATCTAGAGGCAAATTCCAACTGACATGAGCTCTCACATACATTAGGTTAATCAACTGACGTTATCTGATGGCCTGTCTAGCTCAAAAAACATAAGAAACACCTCGCAGCTTGTTATAACTAGAAATCGCAGAATATTTGGATTTTTCAGTACAGGGCAGACAAACACAATGCTGTTACATCACTTGCTTCTTATCCTTAGTCTGGTCAAGATAGAACTGTACATTGAGGTCTACCTGCATGCTTCTTGTTGTGCTTAATGATGAAGTTGAGATCGTCAAGTGCACTACTGGGGACATTTCTCAGCAGGTAGATGCTGTGCCTGTGCCAGTAGGCATCCAGTAAATGAGGCTCTAGAGAGATGGCCTTTTATAGAAACACAACAAATTGATTATTTAACACATACGAAGCTAGTTGTAGCATAAGGTCATACTGGTGTGGTATAACTATATGTACAATTATTGTACGCCAAAAACGTGATGCTTTGAATTTACTTTATTTAAATGTGCATGAAGACATATCAACAATATGTCTTTCAGTTTACCTACAATTGGCTCTGTTTATATAATATTTTATGTAATATTTTATATTAATTGGATTCATGTTTAAACAATGTAATTGATTTAAATTTGAATCAAGTAAAATCAGTGCATTGCTTCTTCAGTGTAAACTGTGTAAAAAAAACAAGCCTCACAGCATTTAGATCCTCAAGTGCTTGGCTGAGTTGACCAAGTTTTTTATATAGTGCTCCTCTGCGACACAGGTCAAAGGCACTGTCCCTCCCATGTTCAGCCATAGTCTGGGTCAGCTTGGCTACCTCCCTCTCCAGGTCTGCAGTGGTTAGGCCCTCATCCAGCGCCTCAGAGAGATCCACTCTGTCCAGAATGCGGATCTCATTCTGTAAAGGCTGTTTCTCTTGCTCACTGGAGACTGTGCATGTTTTCCTGGATTGCTGATCACTCCTGATACTGCTCTCCTCACGTGGGGGAAAGACCTCATCAAACCAGGTGTTCCAGATGTCCCTAACCCACTCTTGGGGTGGAAGCGTGTCAGGAACACTGCCTCGCTCCGCAGTAAAGACCTCAAATTCCAGTAGCAGTGGCAGGCTTGGGTGGCGGAGGAGAGCAGTCTGCTCTGCAGATACTTTGGGCTTCTGTGGCATCTCACATAGAGATTTACTCCTGTTTGGACAGAGAAAGCTACTTATTATAAATGTTACAGAATATTGTGCATATTCAGGAAGGAGCATTTGCAAAATGTTGTTGAGGCCTTTGTGTAATTTTCTGTTAAATATGTTTTCTGCCTTTTTCTTGATGCTGAATATAAATAACTTTTTTGACTGGAATAAATGATGGGTGGTCCCTGATTTTGCACAATGTGGTTAAATTCACTGTCATTGTTTCACTGTATTTACTAGAACATGACAAACAGAAATTGGGAAAATATAACCTTGTTAGAGTTCGTGGCAGCTCCCTCAGTTTCTTAAGAACGTATGCCAGCTTAGCAGAGCTGAGTTTCTTCCCTGTTTTGCTGGTCTTGCGTTTGGACTGGGTGGCACTTGTACTCCTGATAGACTGCTTTGCCAGGGCTCTCCTGCCTCTGACCCTGCAGGGATGTGATACACTGTGGCTTAGGTCCCAGCTCGACTGCTTTGGAGAGCTGGGCTTACTATGAGTATCCTGAGACTGAACCTGGCTGGCACTGAGCATGTAGTCAGACTGGGTGCAGACGAGGGACTGCTGCTGCTGGACGCGGTCCAGCTCTCTGCTGATGGTGGTGGAGTCAGACTGCAGCCTCAGAGAAGAGTTGGGATCCGGGGTTAAGTGTGGGGCCGAGAAGGGACGCTTCACCAGAAGCTGTAGGAAAATTCAGAGGATACTGTATTTATGATAATGGCAATTATAGCAAAAAAAAACATCCCCCAGCCCATCTTTGTCCAAACACAAATGGAAAACACTTATTCATAAAAAGATTCATAAAAATGCCCATTCTAGCAATAAACAGAAAATAATAGCAATTAATAACAGCAATTAAGCTGCTGCAGACAAGAGAGAAATTAAAGGAAAACCTGAACGAGGAGAAAAATAACAAATGCAGACATTTCCTGATAGCTGTACTGCACGATACAATTAAGCAATTAACATTCTAGATTGCTCTGTGTCATGTATAAAAATGCAGAGCAGGTCCAGTTGACCCCCAATATCAGATCAAGATAGCAAGACGAATAGATCTAAGTGACTTTAAAAGAGGGATCATTACTGAAGCACGGACGGCAGGAGCTTCAGTCAGAAAGATTCAACTGGCCAAATTTTCAATAAGAAGAATGACTAAAGTGTCATCTGCATTTAGATACAGGGAAGACATTAGTAAACAGGGTTGGAAATTATGGTCTGCGCACATTTGCTGATTTTGACGCTTGTGCATTATGTGCAATTTGTAAGAAAAAACAGACGATCAACTGTTCCTCAGGTGACTGAGAATGTCAGCTATACATCCACTACACAGAGAATGATACAGTGAGTTGCAGCATATTAACCCCTCATTACAAAAACAAATGCACATTTACAAGTTCAGCGGTATAAAACCCATAGGCACTGGTCTACAGAGCTGTGGAAAAGTGATATGATCAGATGAGTCATCCTTCACCATCTTCTCCAGATATGGGTGAGTGCAAGAAAACTGTACAGCCCTGAATGCTTGACACCTACAATGAGGCTACATTATGCTGTGGGGGGCAATGGGCTGCCACTTCAGGTCACTGCAAATCAATAAACAGTTACCGTAACTGATGTCCTTTATCCTATGACAATACATTTCTATCCTGATAGGAGTAGTCTTTTTCAAGATCACAATGCCCCATCTACAGGGCAGGGGATTTTGGATGGATGTTAGACAGTGCTCTCCACCACCACCATCAAATAATCAGTTGTGGGAGTTGTGTTGTTCCATTCCACCAGTACTGTTCTATAGACTTGCAGAATCTATATCATGGCACACTGAAGGTGTCCTTCTGGCTCATGGTGGCCCAATTCCAGATCAGGTCAGTTACAAACTGGTTTAATCAGAGAAACCAGCTGACCCTTTCAGTTTAAGACAAGTTGTATTGCACAGTATAAGCAAGACAATAATTCTCAGTGTATCATTTCAGTGTATCATTCTTTACAATTAGTAGTCTGCTTCTATCAAAAAAGTGGATATAACATCAAGTTCCCAGATGGGTGTAATGATAAAGAAGTCTGCATGTATTTTTGACCTTTGAATACATCTGCTTCCTCTGTAGACATTCAGTAAGAGAAAGGACAACAAAACCTTCTGTTCCAAGCAGACATCTGGTGAAGGCACTGGGTCCGGTTCCTCTGCTCTCAGGTCCATCAAAGACTTGTGCTTTCTGGACAGAATGTTTTCCTAGGGAAGAGGCCAGACATTCAATAAGAATACTGAAATACTGTCACTGTTTTAATCTACTCACACTATATTTTTACATTTTAAAGTTAATATACTCCTTTATGTCCATGGGCACTTAAAAACTGTGTAAAGTAAAAAACCCAATAATTGTAAGACAATTACCTCAAAACTTCCTCTTTAAAATCTGTTATTTTGCAGCAAAAAGTAGTAAATTAGCTTATATCACAGGATAGACATTATCAGGTGTCACGATAGATAAATGCTGTGCTAAAGTAGTAACAATGTCATGACTGAATTATGTATTAAACAGCAGAATGTCCGAATGCCAGGCTGCACAGTCTAGTAGCTAGTAGTGAGCTCCTGTTGTACACCAGCTAAAATTCTTCCTCAGGTATGAGTTTTGTCATATCTGTTATATTGGTATGCCACAAATATGTTGCAGGTAACGTGATGTACAAATAGTGCAAAACACACTAATGTCAGTTCGCTTAGCTGAGTGGCTGAGTGATGGGTGTTTCAAAATAAAAACACAGCAATCCTCAATCACCTCCTGCTGTCTAGTCTGTTGCACTTGAAGTAGTCCACTTTGTTTCTGAAGCAGTGGACATTATAGAATGGTTGGTCTTTTGGGGTTGGCCTTAGACGCACGGATTGGTGTGCTTCTGTTTCCTCTCGAATTGCCTGAGAAGCCATCTGACTCAGTCAGCTGCAGCTGCTCATAGTCACAGGGGTCTTGTCTGCACAACAAGCCCTAGACCAGCTGGTGGCGTGAATGACTTTTCCAAATTTTCCAAATTCCAGCAGCGTCTGACGGTTGGAGGTATGGGTATATAAGATGTACGTGTGAGACAAATGACTTCAGTCTCGTAGAAAGTCATATATGGAAACAATATATAGCACCATTGTTGCTGGGCCTGTCGGACTAGTGTTAGAAAGCAATATTAACATATTTTATCTATACATTGTTACTTTACATTGTACATTGTTACTTTGCAACAAAATATTCTAGTTTTACTTTGGCTGTAAATAGTGGTTCTTATATAATGAATAATGTGGACATCCCAGAATAACAAGCCATTGTTAACCTACAAAAATAGGTTTATATAAGCATCTGAAATGGTTTTGTTTGAGTGTGTGTATATATCATGGTTTATATGGAAACTGTTAGAATTTTTAATTATATTGTGACATGACACTTTTGGCCATACTTCCCACTATTATATGCAGCAATCAAAAAAGGGTTTAACACATTATAGACCACTTTTTATCCTATGATAATGCTGTTAGGAGTGAGCTTTACATATACAAGAAATATCAGTGCTATATTATGATTAATAGCATATTTATTTGAGAACTGTGTTTCCATCATATGTCAACTATTTGTCTTTTCAAAAACTAATTTTATGTAAGATGGCTACAATGGATATACAGCATTTTGGAATGAAACTCCAGTTGTTTAAAGCTCTTAAGTAAATCAGAACCACACAACAGGAGGAAACAGATTTGAGAGAGACTCAGTCAAGAGTCTGGCAACATTTAAACATGTATTAGACATGGTAAATACAGGGTAAATAACTACTGTGCTGTGAATGACTACAGATGTACAGCAGTTGGTGCACTGCTTAGTGTAACAGAGAAATTAACTAACCACAGCAGTATTTATCTTCATGTCCATCTGACTGCTGCCTGATTCTGTCACAGCTTGCAGACCAGCCAAGACATTCTCACTGGATAGATCAGGAGGGGTAGCCTAAAGACACAGTATTGTAGACACAGTAATGTTTCAGAACATAGAAGAATTCCAGTCTTAGTTTCAGTTAAATCACCAGTTTGAGACCAAAGGGGACAATCATTCTGAAATGAGTAATTTCAGATAAGACCACACCAGAGAGTGATTTAAAAATCAACAGTCCAGTTAAGGCACCTGCAGCTCTTTTTTATTTAAAGATTGTTCTAAAATAACCTTCTTCAGTATGCACCCAGTGCTCTCTGCTTCTTATGAGATTAATAGGCGAAGCAATATGACACATCAGTTTTAATCTAGGGACAAAAAAAGCTACAATATGTTCTTCTCTGCGGAATAAAAAGAGACCAGAGAGTACGTACTAACAGCAGAGAGCAGATGGGGGTGGGGTCATGCTGTATTTTCTGCAGTAAACACTGCTGTTAAGAGTCCCAGTGGACTGGCAGAGATATACAGGTCCATCTGCTGACTGTATGGGTGCACTGCTACTGTACCTGGTACTGGGGGAAGAGTTTGTCTTTTATAACACACGGAGCACAACTGAATTTCGGAGGTGCTGGACTCCAGAACATTCTCAACTGACCATCACACAGTTTGGCCTGAGGAGTTAAAAAAAATGAAATAATGGATAACATAAAATAAAATAGAATAACATCACATTATTATACACAAAATATAAATTGGATAAGCTTGTCTAACAATACCTTTAAACTTTAACACTACAAAATTAAAATAGAAATGATAGCTATCTAAATATCTTACATAAAATGTACTATAGTGCCTTCAGTCCCTAAACTTCATGAAAAATCATTATAAACATGCATTTATTATTCATTTTTAATGGAACTGCAAAATAGCGCTATTAGTTATATAACATTTAAATTAACTACTAATATTTGATGTAAAAATAAATAATAAATAAATGATATTCTAAATATAACACAATAAAGAGGCAGAAAGGTGCTGAGTCACAAGAGTGACAGTGACAGAAACATCAAAATCTTTTAATGTGTCAAGGGGAACCTTGTCAAAAACCATGATGGCATATGTCAAACCATGAAAAATTGCCTCAGGAAAGAGGAACAGAGGCTTCAAGTGGAAACAGGCATGGACAGACTCTCACCTATAAAGTACAGTTGATAAAAACACTGAGCAATAATGTGCTTGATTTGAATTCATCATTGTGGTACATATTTAAGGCATGGCCGGCCCTTGTGGAAAATTAAGAAAGCAGCATTTTGTGTTATTCATTCACAGTGCTTCATTAGATAATACACCTCTGTGCAAAAGTCAGAGACCACGCTTCATTTCTTTTCCAGTCAAAATGGACATTAAGTTGCTAATTTTGCAGCATCAAGAAAAAAGCAGAAAACAGAACAGCAAGTTACACAGAAGCCTCAGCAACTAAACATAATCTCATTTTTTTAGTATTTAGTGAGTCCACACTTTGCCTTTATTAAAGCTTCTATTCTTTTCAGGAGACTTGGAGTTTTTCAAAAAAAAATCTCCAAAGTTCAGTTGTAGAAAGTGGTTGCATTTTTTGCTTCTCATGATCCAATTAGGGCGGCACGGTGGCGCAGTGGGTAGCGCTGTCGCCTCACAGCAAGAATGGCCAGGGTTCGATTCCCGGCCGGGCGACCAGGGTCATTTCTGTGTGGAGTTTGTCTGTTCTCCCCATGTCTGTGTGGGTTTCCTCCGGTTTCCTCCCACAATCCAAAGACATGCAGTCAGGCCAATTAGAGATGCTAAATTGCCCCTGCGATGGACTGGTGACCTGTCCAGGGTGTATCCTGCCTTCTGCCCGATGACAGCTGGGATAGGCTCCAGCACCCCACTGCGACCCAGAAGGATAAGCGGTTTAGATGATGGATGGATGATCCAATTACAAATTCGACTCATCAGTCCATAAAACTTTGCTCCACATCTTAGATGTCTAGTTTCGGTGCAAATTTTCTTCTTTTTTTGACATTTCCTTTTCTCAGTAACAGCTACACAACCTTTCAGACTCATAGTGTTGAGTTGTCCTCTCTCAGGGGAGGGAAGGATGGACAAAAACACCTGTACATTTTTTTCAGATCTGAAGCAAGAGTTTGACTTTCTCCTCTCTTTTAAAGATGAAACTGTTTTGTGTACTGTTTACCTGATAGTGACAGTGTTGGTGGTCTACCAGGCCTCCCACAATTGTTAGGAGTCCCATTTTCTCTGTATCTTTTAATAATTCTTTGAGCTTCTGTTTGGATACTCCTGTTTTTTCTAGCTTATTTTCCCTTGTACTTTGCCCTTCCTTATGCAATGTTATAATATCCAATCTCCTCATAAACTGCTCCTTTAGATGCACATGAGAAAGAAATTTGCGAGGTGACTAAAGTGTGTTTGGTAGTTGTTTGTGTGAATGTTAGTGTTTCTTTGAAGGGGAATAAAATGACACATTTTGTTGGGAAGACACAGCTGTAGCTTGATATTATACTTAGTGTTGGAAATTCTGACAGCGGCCGTTTTGACTGAAAATTAAATAAACAAAAAGGTGAACTGCAAATGCCCCTCTTGAAATAAGGGCTATCAACACTGAACAAGGCTTGAATCTCTATTATGAATTGATCACGTTTCTGAATGACCTTTTATTTTGGTGACGTCCTGTGCAATACAGCTAATTCTCCTTTTCCACAGGCTTAGAGTGTGAAGTGATATGTGTGTCTGATGCCACCTAGTGACCTGACATAACCCATTATGGAGAAACAAAGCAATGAACAGGCAAGGCCTATTGCTTGATTTCCTATTGATCTCTTGAGGATAATTACCACACTCTGACTTTAATAGAAACATGCTGTTTAACCAAAAAGGTCAAACCTTATTACTAACTATTAAATTGTAATTTGATTCAGTTACTGTAGATGGAATCAAGTTCAGCTTTCATGAGAGACTGAGTACTTTAATGAGGTGCCTGTCTTACCGCATGTCCACACATAATCATCCTGGGTTTTTCCACGTAGTACTCTGCGATCCTCTGCCAGTCTGCTAGAGCATCTGATGACTGTGCTGGAAGGTATGTGACACCACCTGTCTGCTCTGTGTCTCCAACATGCTCCACAGGTACACCTTCACACATCACCCTGTAGCGCACACTAAAGCACTGATCGTTTCTCACCACAGCCCTCATACTCACATGAGAAATGTTCACAGTCATAAAAGTGCCAGCCACATGCAATATATAGGTCCCTAAAATGGTCTGATAGGTTTCAAATGCAGCAAAAACACATGGATAAAGTTATTAATAACTTGACTATCCATTTATAGCAGTAACAACAAAACAAAACAAAAAGTACAGTTTAAAAAATACAGGAAAAGAAGGCAAGTTTGATTCGTACCTGTGAGTAACAGGGTGGACTGCTGCCCTCTGCTGATGAAACTGTGAAGATGCAGCAAGTATGTCCTGAGTGTGGTATAAACTAGAGGCCCGTTGTAGCTCCACTGGCAAGACTTGACAGGCAGGAGTGGTACAGAGGTGGTGGATGGTTTTGTACTCTCCTGAACTACAGAGGATACAAATAATTATAAGAGAGTATATCTCCCAACAAAAGCTGCTCCCAAAGCTCTGACATTATGTTCCCCTTCAAAGAGACATGAACATTCACACGAGCAACTACCCAAACTCACCTTAACTATCTTCAAATTTCTTTCTCATGTGCATCTAAAATGACTAAAGGAGATAGTCCGGAGGAGATTAGATATAAGATAATCCACAGTGCATAAGGAAGAAGAAACCTAAGGAAAATAAGTTTAAAAGTTTTCAAAACTGGAGTTGATAAAAAATGATTAAAAAATACAGAGAAAATTGGACTCCTAACATCTGTGCAAAACCTGGTAGACCACCAGGTATACAGCACTTAAAGCTTTCATCTTTGAGAAAGAGGAGAAAATCAAGTTCCACTCTTGTTTCAGATCTGGAAAAATCTGTTTTTGTTCATCCTTCCACTGTGAGAAGACAACTGAACACTATGAGTCTGAAAGGATGTGTAGCTGTCAAGAAGACTACTGAGAAAGTCACAGTTTCCCTTCTCCAAGGGCTCGTTCCACTCTCTGCCCCTCTCACTTCTAACCAAACTGTTTCCCCTTTTATCACTGACCCAACTGTCATTATTTAAAACCACGAGTTTGCCCATTCTGACCAGTCAAAAGTGTCCATATGTTTAAATATCCCCTAACCTGTAAAGGTACCACTAAGTCTCTGAAGTGTAGAGGCAGATCAGAAGTGGAGTGGGGGTAGGGCACTACTTTTTCAGTCCTCCAACAGTAATGTTTTAGTGTTTCAATGTTTTTCTCACCTTCTCATATGAAACACTTTGAGATTTTATTACTGAAATGAAAATTGTTATGGAATAAAAATAATGATGGTGAAGATGATTATGATGGTGATAATTATTATTAAGTAACAAAGCACTGACATGAATGCCACATTTTACATGATTGGGTAACTGTTTTCAATTTAAAGAATATTATGGAAATGTAAATGATTATTTTTTGAGACAAACACATGTTCACCTGAGAGAGAGCCCATTTAGTCTAACAGCCATTAACTTGCTAAAAAAAAGGCATCTAGCCTCTGTGCTATAAACCGACAATTTACACAGTCTATTTACACAGATTGACTGCACTATAACTTCTCACCACTGTTTGAACTGGAGACAGAGGAGGGAGAAATCGTGCCTGTGTCTGTGTGTGGGCCCATTGTGTTAGTCAAACTTCAGGCAGGCAGGAGAGGGAGCACGGCTGCCTCAATCTCCACTGACAGCAGCAAATTTATGGTGGGCATTCACTTTGGCTTGTCACAAGCCAGATTTATCACCTTTCTTTGGCACAGATAAGCCTCAGCGACAGACCTGGAGGGTCACGCCAAAGTCATCAGCCCTGCCTTGCCTGAAAGGAAACATTCCTAAAGTGTGAAGGGCAACCTCCAACCCACTCTCTATCCATCTACCCTACAGACAGGCCGCTCTCATTTAAAGTCTCTCAAGTGCGTCCAGATGAAACTTTTCGGTGACCCTCTACAAGCTGGAAGAAGCTAGTAATTATAAGGCACTTGTTGTGCTTGTGTTTTTGGAGAGGGGTTGTGGCCTGAGTCCAACTGTGCACTTGCAGGTAGTAAATCGTTCAGTGAGCTGAGTGAGGCAGAGACTGAGAGGAGGAGTGCAGGGGTGCAGAGGCTCCAGGATGACCTGGCACAAAGCTAAGGGGTGGAGGTGAAGAGTAATTATTAGCTGCGTCACTGCCTCTTAAACGCAACTGAGAGGGAGCTGATGACAGCTTAGTCACTCACTCAGGCTCCCTGAAACTGAAACTGAGACTTTGGCTTAACAAGAGGCTACCCTCAGTGTCCTTACTGGTAGAGAGATGTGCGAGATTGACATGCTGATAGTGAGTTGAAGAGGTCAGTGTATGAGTTTGCACCATGATAGAAGAGGCTGCTCAGAGCTATGCCAGACCTAGGTTGCATGAAGAAAAAACCTGCAAACCCAAAAACAAACAAAAAAAACATACCCAAATATCTGAGGTAACATGGTTTAGAACAATGGTTCTCAACTTCACACCTGATCCAGTAGTCAGGGACTACTTAAAACTGTGCAGAGCAGTGGATCCCCAGGCCTGTAGTTAAGAACCAGCAGATTAGAACATCTACGCTATTGGCATTTAGGCAAGGTTTACTTTGTTTTAGGAGTCCAGGTTGCGAGAAAGGAGAGGCCATGAATGGCTCTTGGTTGCTGGGATACTCTTCGAGGTCTTGGGACTAGAGCAAAACTACCCCCTCGAGCCTCCATTCCAGCCACATCAGTCACCTTCAATACAAACAAAGACAGCAACATATATGCAGTTTATATTCTGAATGTTATTAAATATTAAAGTTTGAACAGTGTTACATATAGTAATATGATTTCTATGGCAAGAATGTGGAATGCAATGAACCTTGGGCAGTGATTATGAATGTACCTGAGAGAACAGGTCCTTGAGACTTTCCTCATCAGAGATAAGCTCAGGAACTTTCTGTGAGGCTGGCATGTCTACCTTAAAGCTTCCTGATAAAACAGGTCCATAATGCACAGGCCCTGAAGAAGGTTTCTTTTCACTGACACCTTCTACTAGCTGTTTTGCTAGGAGGTCCTTCTGGCTCCCAACCTTGGGAAAGACACAATCATTCTGTCTGAAGAGCTTTTATACCTTATTAGGATCTGGCAATAAATATGAATACCTAATGCAGAATAAGTATGATGATGTTAAGATCTCCTTCTCTACATAAAATGCAAGCAAACAACTGTCTAAACTGTTGTGTCCTTTTGAGAGTCTTTATTGTGAGGATACATGCATTTAAATTTGTGTGATTATACAGAGATGAATACAACTAGAGATGTACAATGATATCAGAATCTTATTGGTACAGGCAGATATTAAAGTATGTAAGATGTTAAAATTGAGAGAATCAGCATTACTGAGTCAGGAGAAAAAAAATGTTAAAACTGTGTTGTTGGCGAGCTGCTTGAGCCACCCTGTAAAGCCTGAAATAGTCAATTAAAAGTCAGCGGTGTGGGGTCAGATTTCCTGGGAGTTTTTCACCCCACATCATACATGTTTATGTATTAACGTCACACGCACAGGCTCAAAAAAAAGGTCTGGCTCAAAATTTAGGTCTCAAATGCAGTCAGTGCAATTACAGAATTTCACCAGAGAGGTCTCCATATCCCCAAATTATTGGCATCAAAAAGATATTTAGATCTGACTAATCTTTCAAATCGATCACTGATGATGTATTTACTGTACTTTGGAAAAGTACACGCTTAGGCAACACAGGGCTACCGTACTTGTATATCTGCAGTTTACTCATTTTACTGCATTATGTAAACTTTTACAAATAAGTGTTACTTTTTTTCTGAAATGCCAATCCAGGTGGGTGTAGTCCCAATTTCTAGATAATCTCAAATGTTTATATATCTGCATCAGTATTGGCACCAGAAGATATGCAGGGGAGACCAAGTATTGTAACATGGGGTAAGCTGTAACACCTTCAGTTTCACCAGTTTCATCAGAAAAAAGTTACAGGAGAAGTTTTAAAACTTTGCATGAAACAGTGATGTTTATGCTAGAAAGTAAAATCTGGATTATAGCTTGTTCAGCACTCATAAATGGAGGTTAAATGTTTTAACTCTAAATCTAAAGTCTAAATCAGTAGTTTTTCTCGTTTAGTTTCATTTGTAAAATGTACGCTAGTTTCAAACATACCAGCAATGTCACAACCGACCAGGACGGGGTGGTTGCAACACACAAGGTAATGTAGGGAGAAAAAGATCAACAGGCCTACTCACATTTCTTACATAAACTCATTCAAGTAAGGTTAATTTCAACTGTCAGTAAAAATTGTACTCCGTCCTACATCGTGTGCAGCTTCCTTCCTTCTCTCTTTTTCTTAAATGACCACATATATACACTGTGTTATGTGTAGGCAGGTCACATACATAGTCACCTAATCACAATTACTTGAGATGATCACAATGATTTACGTTGACTGCAATCACTCAGTCAACAGTCGTTAGATTTCAGAATCATATCATGCCACTGGATTGTGTTGGACTGAGGCAAATAAATCACCATGAGACTCATGAGCATAAAAAAATCATAAGTATAACAGCATAAGTAATGTTTATTTGTTAGCCATGAAGCTAACTGAAACATTTCTAGCATGTATGCTCGCAGAATATTTGCAATCAATAAACAAAAAAGGACAATTAAATCATCAATCGTAATTATTTATGTGACAATTTATCGTTGGCTATAATTTCATGATCATGACAGCCCTGGTTACGTGTTTAAAAGATTTTGATATAGACTAATAGGTTTAATATCTGTGTTTTTCCTTTTGTTTCTTGCTTTGAAAAGGAGAAATATAAATGAATAAATTAAGATTTTTTATTTATTTATTTTATACTTTTATTATTAGAGTTAAAACAATATCACACAGAGTACAATGGCTATGTGATTTGCTTACCTCCTCATCAGAAATATGAAAAACGTCCACAAGCTCTCTCCTCATCTGCTCTTTAATGGTCAGCTCAGAGGGGGATCCACTTTTGTCCTGACTCTGCAGAGAGGCGATGAGCTCATTCACTGTGTGTCCACTTTCCTTCACTAGCGTTTTTGACCTTGCTTCCTGTGGCACCCTCTGGTGGTCAGTCTCCTGTGGTCGCTCTGCTGCAATTTCTCTCGCTTCCTCTAGCAGTTCAGCAACAGACTTCACACTCCGAATAGTGCTGGATGCAGAGCTGCTTTTGAGACTGCCTGAGCTACGATTTTTAGGGTTTGTCTGCTCCTGCGGCAAGTCCTTTAGTTGTCTTCTCTTTTTCTTTCTTGCCTTTCTGTGCTTCTGTCCATTCTGTTCTGACTCGTCAGAAGCAGACTCATCACTGTCCACTGCACTTCCATCAGAGCTAGAGGAGGTCAGCAAGTGACCTCTGCTTAAGACAGTCGACCGCTGAACCCGAGTGGTAGGAGATTTCTTTTTTTCACTCGACACCTGCTGTGAATGAGTGCGGTTCTTAAAAGTCCCCCCTGTTGACAAAGGCCTCTCTGATCTGTGCTTAGCAGGTGGCTGAGGCCTTTTAGACATAGATACTGATCTAGCTGTTCCTGCAAGAGATGCAATGGCGGGTTTCATGGCTGCATCTTGTCCAGCTCCATGCTTTGGTGGAGGCTTTGCACTTGCGTCTTCATGGGGCAGATTTTGTTGTACGCTTTTTCTCGTTTTGGATGTCTTTGAGAAGGAGGGGTGAGGAGCACTTTGTGAGTTAGGTGACACATCAAACAGAGGTGGTTCTCTGATTTCAGGTGTAGTTAATATATGGTGAACGTCTGCAGACACTGGAGTCAATTGAGCAGTTAATCCAAGAAGAACTGGAGAGTCCATATGTGAATTTGGTGCTGCAGTGCTCCGCTGTGACTCACCTTTCTGCTGAGGTTTTTTACGCAGTTCCTCAACCAATTTCTTCATCTTCAGCTCCTCACTGTACTTTAATGTCCTCTGTGTTCCTGGCATGTTCCCTGTGTGAATGCATATAAGTCATCAAATTGACATTAATCAAAGCTAGGGGCAATGATAACTGAATCATATTTTTATCAGAAGATATTTGCTTAAGAATAAATTATCAGCAAAAGACAGACTTTTAGATTTGACTGATGTTTGTTGATGTATTTATTGTACTTTAGAAGAGCAGAACATTTAGGTGATGCTAAGCTACTGAGCTAAAATGTCTTCATTTTCTTCATTTTCCTGTATTTACAATCCTCTACAAATAAATAATATATTTCTCTGCAATGCTAATCAAGGTTGATTTAGTTCCTGCATATGCAATTTATAAATATTTATGTATTGGTGTTTACATCAGCAGATGTGTAAAATATGAGACATTAACATCAGCCCACAATTCCCTTATCAGGGCATCCCTAATCCAAAAACTAAATTAAGCTGTTCAGTATGTACTATTGAGGTGGAATAGTACACACTGACTAAAACAGAAGTTATAAAAAGTCACAGTTTACTGTTCACCACTAATGTGGTCTTTGTATAAGCGCAGAGGGAAAAAAAAACATTGTCATAAAAAGAAAGGTTATGAAATTGCAAACTGAAAAGTAGTGCACTATTTTTAATAGATAATAATTTTATTATAACAACCAAATAGCTTGAAGGAACTCTTGAAGACAAGTAAAAAAACAATAAAAGAGATCCTTGACACTAAGTTAATGTTATAATTACTTACTATCTCATTATAATGAAAATATTTTCTCATAATTATGAGAAATTAAGTCATAATTATGAAAAGGTAAGTCATAATTATGACATAACTGTTACTATGACCCGCGACCCAGAAGGATAAGAAGGTGGCTTAGATAATGTAATTTATGGTTTATGGGGTGGATGGTGTGGGGTTTGGGCGGTTGGTCTGATTGATTCTCTCTCTCTTTTTTCTTTTTTTACAGAATACAGCTTTTTAATTCTCTGTATACACAGCTATTTACTATTATTATTTTTTTCCTTTTTGCTATGCTCAAATCTGATCTGTTTCCACATCAGCACTACAGATAACAATTTAATATAAAATAGATCATTTTAATAAATTTTAATATTTAAAAATATTATTTAACATTTAATACAAATACGGTTAGATTTTTGCTTAACTTACCCTTAAAATAATATTCTGTCACATTAAGTGACTTGATGAAGAATGATAACATTTAATCCTTCAGTGGAGCGAAGGCTGACTAAGAGCTGATGAGTTCTGCTTTTGTTCAGCACTCACAATTTGTTGCTAGCTCTCTGCTGAACTGGTCAGCTTATTCTAATGAGGGCAGAATAAAGTCACAGAGAATCTAAATAGTAGACCAGTTAGTCAACGGTAACCAGGTGCGCAGCCAGTGGCAGCGGTGCGATTGGGCCTAGTGGTGCAATGCAGCCTGCAGCAAATCTCCCAGTGCACTTTATTTCCTACTGCGGTGTTTTAATAACGCTTAGCAAATGCCTTACTTAATACATCATTATATTCTGTATCTATTAAGTGCCTCATATGACAAAATATGTGTGAGGAAACTTAAGGATGAATGAATGTTTAATATGCAAATGAGATCAAGGATCTGCGCGAGAGAGGCTAAAAGTTTGTAAGATAGCTCCTTTGAACACTGCTTACTTTTTAGCTCGTAAGATAGAACCTCGTTCATTCTGCAGCATAAAATGTGTTGCTGTGTGTAGCCATGAATGCTGCTGTGCTAATTGATCACGTTTAATTTACTGACCGAGTTATTTACTTTTTCATTTTCCTTCAGTTCTCTCAGTTTGTCCTGCGTTTAGTGAAGGTGGAGTAGTACGCTCAGTTTGTGCGCTGAACGCCCTCATTGGTTTACTTTTGCTATGGAAATGGGTCCCGCCCCCACCAATCTACAGCACAGACGGACCGGCAATGACTGACTTGTATTCAAGTACACTGCCATTGACTGTCCAGGGCGTAAGCAATCAGTAAAGGCTAAGCAGTACCAGGAAACTTTGTGAGGTTCAAATTGTATTCTTTTGTAAAAATGTGTGAAAGCGTGAGAGCTGTCAGCCCTGTTGCAGTTAGCCAGCTAGCTACCAAACAAACATTATAATGCAGCTGAATGTCAGTTATTAATTGTGCTAATAGCTAACTGGAGACATTATCCCCACCTGGTGGTTGGTCATAGTAATGTAGGTGAGTTTATATAGGTGAGTTTACAGTTTATTAACTTTTACATCCGTGGTGATAACTGTGTTTCACTCACTGGCCTGCTAGCTAAGCAATAACAATAAATATCTGTCTGAAATCATAAACTAACCAGAATTACATTACTTGTACTAGAAATTAGTTACTTGTATGATAGCTAGCAAATGCTACAGAATTTTTTTATTTGTTTACTTGTGTTATGCTTGTAGCCATTTCTCTCTATTATAACTATGGCACATACAGAGGGGCTTTTTCTCCACACTAAAGTCAGGTTATTCTTAATCGAACATGTCTTAACGGGTTTTCTATCATATGTTTCTTCTAAAAAAAAACGTACGAACAGTGAGAATTGGCACACTACCTTTGTCACTGTTGAGACTTTGAGGCCTGCAGAGCCAGTACCCGGACAGAAATATCAGGTATCTAGGTGTTTGCATTGATAACAAAACCCAGTAAAAGTTTTCATGTAAAAAATTAGTTTCAGCAAGAAAGAAACAAAAACTAGTTGGTGTCGCTTAATCCAGTGTGCGGGCAGAATTGGCTGGTTTTTGTAGGGAGTATCAGGCCACTTACAATGCAGCCAATATATTGCTGCTTTCAGGACAAAACCTCCAAAATGATAACTTTACAGGAGTTATGTAGGCCTAATGTAAGCAAATCTTTATTAGTTATTCTTTATTAGTTATTCTGGATCCTTTAGCCATCTGATTCTTTATAATTCTTTATTTTGGTACTTAAATTCAGGAGGCCAATGGAAGCTGAGTTCCACAGTATTAAGGGTGCACTGTTATAAATATTTATGTATTGGTGTTTACATCAGCAGATGTGTAAAATATGAGACATTAACATCAGCCCACAATTCCCTTATCAGGGCATCCCTAATCCAAAAACTAAATTAAGCTGTTCAGTATGTACTATTGAGGTGGAATAGTACACACTGACTAAAACAGAAGTTATAAAAAGTCACAGTTTACAGTTCACCACTAATGTGGTCTTTGTATAAGCGCAGAGGGAAAAAAAACATTGTCATAAAAAGAAAGGTTATTCCACATATATCAAACATGACTACACGACACATGGAATTCAGGCACTCAGTCATTTTTTTCAAGTAGGCCATGTTCATTAAATATTAGAGGGTAATAGCATAATGGTCAGTCATATTGGTAGGGCTTTTCTATTTAAGGCACATTAAACTGTCTTAAATGTGCAACACAGACACATAGAAACCTCAAGAAAACTTAATCTGTGTCGGTACTCTGCATGCCACTTTCCACTGTCCATCATTATAAGAAACTTGGTATCCAAATTTAACTCCCTCTGCAACACCAGGATCAACAAACACAACATATTAAACATTCAGTCAAGTTGGATCTTGTTTTACATTTTCTCTTTTAGGTCACATGACTCCAATCCTCCACCATTAGAGCAAAATGACACTTAATAAAAAGAACTCAACTATTAATCAATTATTACTTAGCTTTCGTCAGTATTCCAACATGATGTCCAGCATTTAGCAGCCTAGTTGTTTTCATCCAGCAACACAGTCTAACTTGTCCAGCGTCTGGTTAAAGTAGGCTATTTAACTCTAGGTGATGGGTTAACATGAATGTCCAGTTCATCAGGATTGGGTACATCAACACTCTATCCAATAAAGGCTCAGTTCTGCATTTACCCAAATTACCCAAATCGGGTTCCTTTTAACGCAGCATTTAAGTGTAGGAAGATGCTTTAGTAACAAGTGACTAAAACAACATTAAATTAAAATGAATGTATAATAAATACCCTACAGCCATATTGTATTTCCAACTGAAATATTTTAAAGACATTTTATTTACATGACTGTGCAAGACCTTTTTTTGGGGGAATTGGTAGGTACAGAAAAGAAAGAGGTCAGCAGATGCAAATTATTGGAGGCAGATGAAAAAAAAAAACAGTAATGGAGCTCTACATGAAGATGAAAAACATACTGAGCTTCAGACATTTTTGGTCAGTTTGTAGCATTTTGTATTGCTTTTGGCTCCTTTTTTTAAACCCATATCTGTTTATAAGTATTTTCCACACCTACTTAACTAGTTTTTTGTCAAGAAGCCACAAAAGAGTTGTCAATAAAATTAAACAACAACGAAGAAAGTGAAAATCATAACACATTACCAAAGATATAGCCGAAATATTAGGAACTTGAAAACGGTAAACTTGCAGAAGTGTGTACACAGCAAGATGCAAAACACAAGGTTCAAGAACTGTATGGTTCAGTTACAGCTTATTAACAAGTACCAACAGCCTGCTGAGTTCTGGAGTCTTACGGATGCAGTACATGTTATGCTGGACCATGTAAGGCTGTCACTGTAAGTTATTTATCTTTTAATTGATAAAAGGACTGTAAACTGTACATAAAGTAACACACAAATCTCACTGGATGATGAATCATCCACTAATGATAATAACCCAAAACACAACGTGCTGAGAGGCAAAAAGATTTTGAGGATTTATAGGGTTAAAAGTAGAACATTTTTACAAATCAACCTATTTAAATTCATCCATTTAAAGTATGTGTTTCAACTGATGACAAAGACGCTGAGCTTATGAGCTCATAAAATAAACAGAACTTATCACATCTTAGGTATGAAAATACTTGCAGCTCATCTGCCCTGTAATTACTGTCCTTTTAAGTCACATCCCTTTCAAATGAACACTGCTTGAGCAAAATAATACGTGTGTGGCTGTCCAAACAGTTTTGCAGCTCGCTGTATCTATGAAACTGGGAAGGCCTTGCATCAGCCTGTAAAAATGTGGTGTAGGTTTGCAC